GAGGGAGACAAAGGCGGCCGGGCGTGGTGCTGGCCACCCACCCCCTCGCGTACCGTGCCAGCCTTCACAGGTGCCCAGCACTTGCCCCAACAGTCTGTTAAGGCTATACGGGGGATCTTTGTCTTTTTGTATGTTTTACAAAATTTCCATAATTGTATTCAGGCAGTACGGGAGAATCTTTGTTGACCAAATGGGATGCATTGCGTCTTGATTGTGGACGCATGCAGAAGAGTTTTTTTGCCGTGTGCTGGACGTAGCGTGCTGGTAACCGGGCTGTCAGAATCAACACGCCAAGTAGGTGGTAGAAGAGATGAGTGGTAGAAATGGACCATCAAGTATTGTTGTCTGCGTTTGCTAAACTTGCAGTATTTTGGTCTTTGCTCATCGACAATCGGTGTGCACGATGAATGTTTGTTAAGCTCCGCTCTGCGGTGTAACTAACTAGTATTCATTTTCAGATGGAACTGACTCCGTATGCACGAACGCACGTGGTTGCGTGTACTGCCATGCGTCCCTGCAGGACTTCTATGCTGTAGCTACCTTGACTGGTGCATAAGTACTGTCTTCGTGCTAGAATCTGCACAATACTTGTAAGAATCGCAGGACTCTATTCATGTTTAACCTGTACACGTGAAAATAATCGGTGGAGCCGATCCGAGTTGAGAATCAGAATCCGTATTGATACAGGATACAGCGATGAAGCGTTTGTTCACAGATGTCCAGTCGTAGTAGTTCGATTTTCTGCCAACATCAGTGGCGAGTCGGTGTCTACAAAAACCGGTTTTGTTTCCTCCCACCCCCATCATTAACCGGCACTGACCAGCGTGGTGAAGTATGGTCAAACGACCCCCCCCCCCCATGACCGACAGCAGTGGGGAGCCCCTCATCCAGGAGGGTGTCAACAAAGGGTTGTCAATAACAACAACAATAGGATTCATCTTCCTGGTTCTTTCGGTAAAGTCACGTAGAAGGGAAATAATAAAATAATAAAAATAAAACATAATAAAATAATTATGTTCTTCACCTGAGGACGGCTGCTTGCGTTGTGGCCGAAACGTCGTGAAAATTATTTTATTATGTTTGATTTTTATTATTTTATTATTTCCCTTCTACGTGACTTTACCGAAAGAACCAAGAAGATGAATCCCTGCAGTCACGAAAGCTTTAAATCGAAACAATAGGATTGTCAAACTATAGCCGGTCGGTTACCTGGGTAAATATTTTCGGAATCGATTACCGGTTCCGCGAAAGTGAGTGACTGGAAATCGATTCCGGCGGAATGTCGGCAATGAACGCGCGGATTGCGTCCCCCTTCTCGCTCCACAGTGCAGGCGTGGTGCAGGATCAGCCCCGGCAATTGCTTGGCTCGCGAGGGGTCTCCACTCGACAGGGGTTCGCCCGTGAGGGTCCTTGGTCTCCTCTTCCAGGCGCACGCAGACTCCCTTGAGACTTGGAAGACGCGCAACGGACGTGCCCCACATTTGAACTCGCCACGCGCGACCTGGCAATTAACTGTGGCGGCATTAATTAGGGGCCGTCCATAAATGACGTCACGCACCTAGGTGGTGGTGGGGGGGGTCAGACATTTGTGACGATGCGGGGGGGGGGGTGAGAAATGTGACGTCACATTAAAATGCGCAACTTTAAATCAATATAGACAACACGTTCTACTTAATTAAATAGACTTTGTAATAAATGTTTTCTCCTACAACATCAGAGTGCAGCGCCACATTAAATACGCACTACAATGACAACAGTTTAAAGCGATTTGAAGCATGTTTTATTTTATTTGGGGGGAGGCAGAGCTTTGTGACGAAGAGGGGGGTCAAAAATCGTCCAAACCGCGTGACGTCATTTATGGACGGCCCCTTAGACACTGCTGCTGTGTGGACAGAGACGGGTGGGTTGTGGGTTTAAATAAACTTTTCCCCCATCGCCTTTTAGTGGTGGCGAGATGTTAACTACCTCGCCTGGTGTGCAAGCAGTGCGTGGGTGAGATCCCGAGTCTGACGCCTGCTGCTGTACATTTGGAGTTTGCAGTGTCCTCTCTGCCGTGGTAACGTGGATTTTCTCTGGGTCCTCCGCATTTTCCTCTCCACATTTAGAATGGACGTGCGTTTTGAGTATTTGGCTGCTATAGGTTTCCACGTGGTGAAGACCCCCGTTGTTGAGCTACCATTTGTGGCCAGGTTGCTTCTGAAAGAGAGCGGCATCGCTCAGTGAGGCTTACCTGGTAAGAGAATGAAGTTTCATCGTTTAGTGCCGTGCCGGGAAATCGAATGGAACCGGGGAGTTCTGGATTACAAGTCCCACGTGATAATCCCATTATTTCAGGACGGCAGCTCTCTTGATTCGCCAGTTATACAATCTCAAATGTGATGTTCATCGCTAGACTTTTTTTTTAATATGTGCTGTAAACCCTTTGTACAGGTTTTTTTTAAATGAGGATCACGCTAATAGGAGAAACCCCAAAATTGTAACAACCATTTGGATATTTTTTTTTTCAAAAGGGAGTTCGGTTGTTATACACGTGTTGTATACACTGTGCTAGTGACGGGAGTCCGTGGTTTGTCATTGTCCACAGCTCAGGAAGCGATAAATCAAGGGGCTCACACTGAGTGAGGGGGGAGATATTATGATTCTCCTTGTGTGTGTCTTATTATTGTGTATGGTGTGTGTCTTGTTATTGTGTGTGGTGTGTGTCTTGGTATTGTGTGTGGTGTGTGTCTTGTTCTTGTGTGTGTGTGTGGAGTGTGTCTTGTTATTGTATGTGGTGTGTCTGTGTTGTTCTTGTGTGTGTGTCTTGTTCTTGTGTGTGTGGTGTGTGTGTGTGTCTTGTTCTTGTGTGTGTGGTGTGTGTGTGTCTTGTTCTTGTGTGTGTGGTGTGTGTGTGTCTTGTTCTTGTGTATGGGGTGTGTGTCTTGTTATTGTGTGTATGGTGTGTGTGTCTTGTTATTGTGTGTATGGTGTGTGTGTCTTGTTAATGTGTGTGTGGTGTGTGTGTCTTGTTATTGTGTTTGTGGTGTGTGTGTGTCTTGTTCTTGTGTGTGTCTTGTTATTGTGTGTGTGTGGTGTGTGTGTTAAATTTTCTTTATCAAATACTCAGCCATGTGGCCACATCGCCCGGAATTACCCATCCCTCCTCCGCCTCATCTTGTCACAACTAAGAAGTATCCAGGCTCAAACCTGCTTAGCAAGTGCTGGCTGGGATGGTTGAGCCATGTGCCCACACAGGTTGTCATAGGGCTTTGTTGAGGGCTGTGTGGTAAAATCCACGGTTGTACTGTTCTTCTAAACACGTCTATGCTCCCCCATTTTCATCATCCTAAATTGACCGGCATGGTGAAGTATGGTCAAATAACCACCCCCTTTTGTGGGGAGGCCCTCATCCAGCACTGAATTGACAATATTGGTGTACATGTACAGATACTGAGCACTCTACACAAACAAAACCCATGAATACGTTCCTTCTCTTATGAGATCTGTTATTAGTCTCATAGATGCATATTTACGAGAATGCCACAAATGTTTTGATAATTGGTGTATTTAATTGAGCACATTTATAAACAAACATATACAGGAATGAAAATCAATGCCAATGTCTCCGAATAAACTTTGAATTATGTGCATATCACCTGTGCTCTGTCAACGTGGACCCTGGAAAAGGGGAATTGTAAATATCAGCTGTGGAGAGGCACGTCATAGGAGAGACAGAGGAACACACGCAGCAGGGAACAAACGCAAATCGCATTCATTCACATCTGCCTGCCCCCCGTACCTTTCTTCATTATTGACAACTTGCAGCTCAGCACACGGCAGATGCCTGCGCAGCGCGACTCACGACCTCCTCTTGATACCAAGATCCAGGATGGGTCATGTCTATGCGCCGCTTCTCGGCGGCAGCCCCATCAGTCTGGAACGCCGTCCCTCTGCACATTCGCAGCATCACCTCAATTGCCTCCTTTAAGAGAGACTTAAAAACTCACCTCTACAACTGCGCTTTCGAGCGACTCTGAGCTTGGCTTCGCTCCTCTGAGTTGCGGCCGTTACGTCCGCAAATTTGCGCGCGTTATAAATTGCATTATTATTATCAAGGACAGTAAGTGGGCTTGGGCAGGACGTGTCGCCACAAGGGTTCATTGTCGATTATTCGAGGTTTGTGATGGAATAGTGGCCACGAGAGATAGAGAGAGATCGTGTGTCTGGGAGAATGACGACGGTGCACAGTTGGAGCGGAGAGACCAGCTAATGGGAGCGACCAGCTCGGGCAGGAGTGACGCAGATTATGGCATCGCGATGGACTGTGAGAGATGGCAACAGGGTGTGGGAGGCCTTCATCCAGCAGTGGATAGAAAATCCTGCATCTTTATGACTTCTAATGGAATTTACTTTTGAATATTGATTTAATATATACACACGATTACAATTGGTTAGGAACATGTATCAGAGTTTAATTATTTTCGCACAATACTATACCTCCTTGTGTCAGTACATTGTGCTTTCTACTTATATAAGTTTAACCCAGGCTGTCTCAATGCATCCTTACCAGGATTAAATCAAGGCTAGATCACGTGCGTCACGTTCATGTCATATACACACAATACTACAATACAACAGTGAGATTTATAGACCATCTAAGTGAATGCATCTCAAACAATTTACTATCACTATTTTATAGCGAGAGGCAGCCCGTCAAAGGGTAGAGGAAAAAATCAAGGCATTGAGCCTGGCCTTGAACAAAGCATGGAGGCCACAGCGCAGATAGCTGGAGGGGAGCGAGTTCCAGACCATGCAGACAGCATATGAGAAAGAGCATCCTTCCACTCAGCAAAGGTTGGGCTGAGTTGAGGCTTCAACAGAAATCCTGGGTTTCCGGAGCGAAAGAATGTTGTAGACACATCACTGTGAACGGTACACAATTGCGAATGACCCAACAAAAATCCATCTATGCGCATAACGCTCCTTTAGCTGATGTTTTATCTGCAACGTTTGTGCAACAGAATGGAGGTGCCCAGGGGCATCTTGCTGCTGCTCCTGACCTGCAGGCTTGTCGCCACGACCGCAGCCAGCCACCCGGACAAATGTCCCTCGGAGAACGAGCCATGGTGGACCAGTTTTGCCCCGGCGGGCACGGTGGATCTGCCCACCTTCTCCTCCGCCACGGCCATCCAGCACGTGGCAACCGACGGAGACCACCTGTACGTGGGCGCAGTGGGAACGGTGTACGTGCTGGACTCCGACCTGACGCTCGTTCACGAGATCCCCTTCGGCAACGTGACGTGCGAGAACCCGGCGGCGCCAGGCCCTCCCCCGGCCGGTGACAACCTCAACCTGGTCACGGTGGTGCACAAGAGCACCGACTACCATTTCTTGCTCACGTGCTGGAGCGCGCAGCGCGGGGTGTGCCTGCTCCACACGCTCGACGAGCTGCCGCCCGCCGGGCCGCCCACGTGCCTCAACGGCGGCGACGGCGGCGACGGCGGCTGCCCCGACTGCTTCGCGAGCGCCGCCAGCACCGAGGTGGTGGTGAGGGAAGACGGCGGGGCCCATTTCTTCGTGGGCGCCTCCACCGACCCGTCGGTGGCCGACGCCGCCTCGCCCGCGACGCTGTCCGTCAAGCAGCTGCTGGGGAAGGAGGACGGATTCAAGTTCTCGGTGGGGCACCTGCCGTCGCTGACGGTGCTGCCCGAATTCCGCGCCGCCCACCAGGTCCGCTACGTGACGTCGTTCGGCAGCGGCGGCTACGTCTACTTCGTGACGGTGCACCCGGGCGCGCGCCACGGAGGGGGCACGCAGACGCGCATCGGGCGGCTCTGTGAGGCCGACCACGGGCTGCAGTCCTACGTGGAGCTGCCGCTCGTCTGCCTGCTCTCGGAGAAGCGCAGGAAGCGCCGCCAGGCCCCCGGCAAAGGTAAAATAAAGCGTCTCGCGGTGCGGTGGAATATTAGGGTCTATAAAATGACTACCATAGCTGTCCGATGTGTTTCCAGGCTGTCCCGCGTATTGTTAGGCGCGATGTCCGATGCTATATTGGACAGACGGGACGTAACAGCGTAAGACTAAAAGAACACCAAAGAAACATAAAATTATCTCAAACGCAACTGTCGGCAGTGGCAGAACATGCTTGACAACAAGGACACTCAATAGATTTTGATAACGTTGAAGTGTTGTGTAAAACTAATTATTATTGGCAAATACTAATTAGAGAATCCATTGAAATTGAGAGAAATAGAAATAACTTTTATCGCTCTGACAGCTACAGGCTTAGTGTGGCCTGGAAGTGTATTATTAAATAATACATATTACAATTCTTTCTCGGGGAAACACATACTAATTAACTGATTACTAACGTAGTATATAATTACAATAACACACATTGCAACTAATTACTAATCTACAACTTATCATAATAATTAACTGATTACTAATGTATTATATAACACCCCCCGCCCCCACCTTTAATTTCTGCGCTTGAGTGGTTATAGTAAGTTATTAAATAATACACATTACAACTAATTACTAATCTACAACTCATTACTAATCATAACAATTGACTGATTACTAATCTATTATATTATTACAATACCCCCCTCCGTCTCAAATCACTGCGCCTGAATGAGAAGAATGATGACGTCACCCTGCTGCTGCTGCTCTATTTAAATTGCCCGATGATGCTGGATGCAATTACCAGCGAAACGTCGTACTAAAAAATTGTAAATGTTGTGGTTTCACTCTTCAACACACCGGTGGGCTAAAGTAGTGAACCATTTGTCTTTTGTCAACGTGACACTTTTTTACTGATTGGTCGTGTCAGGTGGTGGAGGGTTATGACACATTTATAAATAACGAGATCTAAACATTAAAATATCGCTATCTTCATACGCTACAGTAATTTTGCTGGAGCAGTCACACCTGATGACGGATGCTTGTGTTGCTTCCAAAACGTCGTGATTTAATTTAGTTGTTTTATTTTTTTATTTGATTTTGTTTTCACCTACGTGACTTTACCGTAACAGCCAAAGAGTATGGATCCTTGCAGTCACGAAAACCTCAAATCTAGAACGTACGTGATCTAACCCAAAAACGTTTATTATGAATAATATTGGTCGCGAAAGCCTCCGTGTTAAACCGAGCTTTGTGTTGTCTACTTGGCTTTACAAAATAAGTCGGCATTGCATATCAGTGAACATTTATTCCACCAAAACAAGGATGTAGACCGGCTGCTAACTGATTGTAGCTTTACAACAGTGGACTAACGAGTAGGAGGTGGAAGTGTTTTTTCGTTGCGCCTCGAAGCACACAGACACGCTTGCTGCAATTCAATTCATGAGTCACAGCTGTTATTGCTACGTTCTCTTGATGTGTTGACCACACCAGCAACATATTCTTGGTTATTTCGGTAAAGTCACGTAGAAGGGAAATAATAAAAAATAAAACGTAATAAGATAAAATGCTCACGACGTTTCTGCCACAAACAGCCATCCTCAGAAACACACCAGCAACGTTATTCATACAATAGAATATTTTAGCTGCCACGGTTGGCTGGAGGAGAATATCTTCGGGGAATGATATCTTACGTCTTTCCGTGTGTCCCTATGCTAAGGCGTGTGTGTGTGCTTACGCTCTGACAAAGTAATGTAAGCTCTGTAATGTTTTGCTAATGTATAAATGTCTTCAATATCATTGCCAAAATTGCACAGTGTGTGTGATTTAATAGATTCGATAGCAGGTCGTAAAATAAAAAATATCGTAAGGCACTTGGAAACCAAACCAAATGTATGGGGCAGCATGTATCCTATTTCCCCACTCATTTATGTCCTTCATATTCTGTGGTTCACCTCTGTATGAATGTATGTTGAACTTCTTTCGCACCGTACGTAGCCAACGGTGCTACTCTTGAGGTGCGGGGGAAGGACAACAAACTAAATACAAAAAGCAGCTCTAAAGAAATTAGTTTCCAATCAAGATGATTTAAAAGTGCAAATCTCCAGTGGATTCCTAATATCGGAAGGAAGAGCGTTCCAGACGGCCACAGAAGCGCATCTGAAAGCGCGTGATGCGGTGACCGTCTTTGTTCGATGGCGAGCCACAAGCCGGCGCTGCGAGGATGACCAGAGTTCACGTGATGGTGTATGCTCCTTGACGAGATCAGCAAGGTGTTGTGGTTTATTTGTGGCACCGTTTTATACGCCTGGGTCTATTCAGCATCCATGCCACCTCATTGAAGGGCGAAAAAGCACAGGCTGAAAAGTAATAATGGTTTTTGTTCAAAATGTTCTGGGTGTCTCCTAGACAAATGTAAATATTTGGGGTGTCTGGACACCCACGGAACTCAGTTAGATTTTGCGGGTCTCCTAAATATAAATACTGCTTTACAATCGACGGTTGAAACGCAATACTGTAAGCACTTATGGCAAATCCTCTCGGTAATTTGGCAATTAAAGGCATATCATTACTTGGTGTATTACTACTAGTTCCGTGCAATATTTCAAATAATTTTGCTTATTTTACGTTTGATTTTAACTTTAAAATTTGTATATATCATCGGAAAACTAAAACCTAAATTGCTAATTTAAATGATGCGACTGTTATGGCATCAAGCATTGGTGGTGGAAAAACAATCAAGGGAAGGAATGAATGATATAAATCAAATTGGGATGTAACATTTCATTTTTAAAAAGTGAAACGGAATCTTTTATCTTCTTGGTTCTTTCGGTAATGTCACGTAGAAGGGAAATAATAAATTAATAAAAATAAAACATAATAAAATTTTAATTTTCACAAAACGTCGTGATAATTTTTATTTTATTATGTTTTATTTGTATTATTTTATTATTTCCCTTCTCCGTGACTTTACCAAAAGAACCAAGAAGATTAATCCCTGCAGCCACAAAAGCTTTAAATCGAAATTTAACGGAATCTTTGACTTACGATGAATGATGATGTTGACGATGATATTGGTGGTGGTGTTGGAGGGGGCTTACACGTGGAGGGAGACCGCGTGGGAATGTTGGTAAGGGATGATGGTGACGAGATATTCATCCGCAGCATCTACTGTGCAGCACAGTACAAGCAGACGGTGTGCTATTTTTCGACGTGGAGATGAGAAGCTTAGCAGCATCGAACCGTGTGAGAGCCGAAACATCACCGCCGTGTTCCAGAAAACAGACCTCATTAAATAAACGGTGCGTAATCGAAACGCTCGTTCGATAACTTGAAATTCTTTCGCACCGTACGTAGCCTACCGTGCTAATCGAACCGCGTTCAGCGAGGTGTTCCTGTACGCAAAGATGCTTCAACAAAACTACGACAGCCTCTGGGCCCCAATAAAATGAAAAACCCGCTTCTGTTCACAGTCGCCTCGCCTCTGCTCACGTTGCCCGTCTTTTGTCCCCGGCAGTAGCGGCACAGGCGCCGGCAGAATCGGCGATATTCACCTCGATGGCGGCAGCGTTCGTCGCCCGCCCGGGCAGCTGGCTCGGCGTGCAGCTCAACGTGCGCGCGGGGGAGGACGTCCTGTTCGGCGCGTTCAGCGAGACCGGCGCGACAGCCCGCTCCGGGATCTGCTCCTTCCCCTTGAACATGATCAACGAACTCATCGGGCAAGGGAGGGACACGTGTGTCAACGAAGAGCGCGACAGGGGCATGCAGTACTTCTTTGGGCCCGGCGAGCGCAAATGTCAAAAGGTGAGCGGCCTGAGCGGCCTGCGTGGGTATTGCGCTCGGTGCTTTGGTGGTCATGAGGCGGGAGACGAGACGCTCGAGTTATCGTCGTCGTCATGGTTTCCATTATTGTTATCATTCTTCATCATCGTCGTTATCTTGATCAGTTGTAATCACCATATCAAGAGTCACATTGTTGTAATTTCTGTCACAGTATATATTTTTTTGCTGTAGAATTTCCCTCAATATTATGCCTATTGTGCGATTATTGGCGTGTCATCGTGAGGTGAAGAAGCCATTCACATCTCTTGCACGGCAGTGGGACCCTCCGTGTTTGAGGAACGTCCCACACGAGCAGGGTGACCTTCTAGAGACCCCTTTGAAGCGACGTGGTCCGTACGCTAGAGGACCGCACTTTCACACCCGCTCTGCCATTGGCGTTTGATGTTTCGCTTTTGGACCATGACCTTAATCGGCACCAGCAATCAAACATTGGGCATTTGCAGCATGTATCAGATACATTTTTTGTACGTGAAGGGAGAAGACTGGTAAAAGTGAAATGTTGAATATTGGTGCACCGCGGTATGCCGTGTACACTTCGCGTGGCCTTAAAGTGCACACAGCCTGGTACAAGCGCCGTGGTGACGTCGCCGCCACTTAGTGGCGAATGGCGGTTGTTGTTGTTGCTGTCAGGATGGTGAACGTGGAATGCAAAATCTGCCTCGTTTGTCCACCACCCTGACTTTTGACATTATTAGTTGAAAAAAAGAATCTGTATTTTTGAGGAGATTAATGCAGTTCTGTAATATTCTCCCAAATCTTTTGCCATTCAATTTCGCATTGACAAGAATGCAATTTGCATTGGCAGTTGAACTAAGAAACGAGTTAATCCGTGTCTTCTATGGCAGGGCTTCTCAAACTCACACTAAGCTGCAGTCCACATGTTTTCTTTTCACCAATCTTACGGTGGATCACTCAAATGTTGTGAAACGTCCTTCCCGTGGTCGTCGAGGTGCCATCCCCTGGCTCGTGGTGGTGATGGCGGCGATGTTGTTGTTGTTGTTACGTCAGCCTGACTGAACTTGCGGTGCCCACGCCTCACAGAACGCAGCCCTCCCCCTCCCTCCCCCGTCACGTGGGACAAACGCCCCACCGGACAAACTCAAGGACTAACGCCTCGTGTTCAACCACCTTCAGTTCAGTTCAGTTTCATGTATTAGGTATAGTCCTGTGAGCCATGTGGCTCTTGACTCGGGTGCAACCGCAACAAATAAAAACATGAACGAGAAACATATTAAAGTGACTACGCGCAACAGAAAAATCCAGGAAAAAACAGCAAAGTCTTCCAGAAAAAACGCTGTGTGCAAAAATCCCGGTGGGATGCAAGTCAAACAATAACAACCACAAGACAATTTAGATTAAAGATATCAGTCTAACTCTGTACTACAACAAACAAATATGGCTAAACCAAAACGTTTTCGAGATCACCAAAATAAAGCTATAAAAACAATGTAACGGTGATCAAAGGAACTGTGATTCAAATGTAACGATTTACATAACATGTACGACCTTAAGCGAGACCTTAACATTAATTGTCCACAGCGTGGTGAGACTGCAATGATGTGCATCAGAGCTGCTTTCAGCATGATTTTGAGTTTCCCAAATGGCTGTTTACGTTACATATCAAACAAGTTGCAGGACCCTCTTGAGAAAAGAGTCTTTGAGACTCGGTGAGACTTTCCCGGTTAAATTAAAGGCGTGTTTGTCCTCACTGACAAATACTCAGGCTTGTGTTAGACAGTCCATGACACACATGCGTTATTCGTTTCGCTCATTGCTTTATTCCTTCAAGCGAATCGATGTTCAATGCATTGCTGTTCCAGATTTGTAAGGAAGTTAGCAATGTGTCTCTTGGAATTCTTTTTTTACAATGTCATGACGCATCCTTGTTTGGGTGGGGGGGGTTGTGGCCAGGATGGTGAAATCGCTGTCGCATCAAGACACGGGAAGTATGCATGTGCAGTGTGTTTTCTGGTTTTACCGCGCATTGTTCGTCACAATGTCCGACGTTTCGCTCCACATGTTGGACCTACGTGGGGCGAAACGTCGGGCATGGTGCCGAACAATGCGTGGTACGACGGCCCTGCAACTCCACCCTGGTTTCAGGAGGTCCACCCAAAATCTCAGCGGGACACACACCGCAGACAATGTCAAACAAACTTCAAATAAATATTCAACACGAAACAGAATGGGTACCGTCATGAGAATCTGCTCCGAGTGTGTATTAGGAAAGGCTGAAGAAACACCGCCAATGGCGTTAAATATTGTAGCAACATTTTTCTTATTTTTTACTCGGCTACAAAATGTTGGCAAGGGAGGCTAAGCCTTGGGGCGGGGTGGGGCACAGGTCCCTGTAGGCGCCCCCTCGACACGACGGGGCTGCCGTACAACTACAAAACACGTTGGAGAGAGATATACGTACGGCTCGGCCTCGAAAACATACGCAGCAGTGCGAGTGGCGTGTGTTTAACAGCGAAGGAAGTCACCCAGACCTGTGTGGGCAGGATGGCTTGTGAGGAGAATCCTGTCTCAGAGGGCCTCTGTGGGGTATATCATACTTTTTTGCCAACTCATCATCTCTGGTTACCCGTGGACTTTGGAGTGTTGTTTGTGTACACTTTGCACATACAGTATTTCAGCGGGGCAGAGCAAGACTTGCTCACAAGTGTGGTCTTGTTTTGATTATGGCCACGTTTGTGTGTGGGTTTTTTTGCATCAGAGACATTTTTGCCTGATCCCCACATGGTAATGTGGAATTTCCCACACTGAATTGATAGTAGAGGTGACTGATACTTATGTGAGAAGAGACATTCTGGCTTGACTTTAAGGCTTGCTAAAGGTTCGGTAAAGCAGAATAATGATAATAAGATTTAAATAAATTTCTTTGTAAATGCACTAAACCACAAATCAGTGGCAAAAAAAGCATTCCTTGGGATTTTAAAGTTTTTAAAGAGATATATATTTTGGACATACACTGCATAAATAACCTGTAAAGGATGTACAGCTAACCTCCTGGACATTTCAACCGGTTTGTCCAGCTGTGACGGCACTTCACGCAAGAGTTATCAGGTGTTTATAACGACCACTCTACATAACTTTCAGCGGTCTCTCATAATTATTTTTACGATGTGTCTAGAACATAGTGCAGTTTAATCTCGAAGGACCTATCATTGCACGACCTGCTTTTTAACAGTTTCTGACCTCATGCCTGACTCCAATGTGGGTTGGAGAGGCCAGAGGTGTCTCAGGGGTGGGGCAGGGCCTGTGTGCAGTCGACGGTGCCAACATCGGAAAGAAGAGAGGCGAGCCACTCGCCGTCACTGTGTGGATAGGGCTTGTGACGTGAGTGGACGGGCCTGACGGATGGGAAGTGTACGTGTGCGCGCATTTATGTTGAACTTCTTTCGCGCCACACGAAGCCAACCGCGCTAAATGGAGGTGCATGTGGAAGGACAACAAAAAAAAACGCCACATTTTCTAATCGGTCCTTCCTGAAACGTGGTAGCTTTAGAATCGGGCGGGGTGCGGGGAGGGCACCGCGCCTCCACATTCCATGCCGAGCGAGCGTCTTGCGTCCTGTTGTTTTTCATGATCCAGAGAGCGGCGCCCGTCAGCCCGTGCGGCTCGGACAACGACTCCCCGCTGGTGCTGGCGTCCGACATGACCCGCTACGACATGTTCCCCAACCTGTTCAAGGACACGGCCGTCACCTCTCTGGCCGTGCACGCTCTCGGCAACGACACGGTGGCCAGCGTGGGCACACGCGACGGGCAGCTCGTGCAGGTGCGAGAGTGGGGGGGGGAGTTGGGGTGGGCTTCTCAGAACCGGGTAACCTGATTCTTATAAAAAGGCTCTCGTTGAACGGCTCCGATCATCGTAGCCACTTGCTCGCTAGCTTGGTTCTATGAGCGAAGGATGGAACGAGAGGCCGTGAATGGCTTCGTACTGCGGTCATGACGAGGATGTTAATTTCTGTGGTGTAGTAGTAGTGTGGTTGGCGTGGGCCATGTGCGAGAAATTGAATGGGAGCCCCCTGTTCAATATTCCCATTTTTTTAAAGGCCAGCGATTGGGTTCCTCCGGTCTGTGGACCCCAGTGCAGCACCCTCGATAGCTACCCCGACTGGTTGTGTTGCAGGTATTGATGGATCGCCACCGCGTCTACGAGCCCTACGTGAACATTACGCTGGACAAGGGCAAGGAGGTGTTGCCTGCAGCCATCGTTCTTCCCCACAGTGGCGTGTTTGTCGTCGCTGGAAACAAGGCGAGTCCTTCCCATCCCTCCTCCAGGTGTTTGGGATTTTGTTGAGCAGTTCAACGCAGTGCCGTCCAGCCGAGTGACTGGGTGTGGAGGAGCGTAACCTATGGATTATACGCAACGGTGGTGCACATTATATGCAGAGGTTGAGGCCTGCATCCAGCAGTGGATTGACAAATGGTTGTACATTTATGTGTGCAGAGAGTAGCAGTTGCGTAGTGGTTAGTGCCCAGCTATCTGACACCGGTGGCGTTATATCTGAACCGGCCTTGAATCCTCCCCTTCACCGACCAGCGTGTTGAAGTATGGTTGAAGACAAAGATCCCCTGTATAGCCTGAACAGACTGTTGGGGCAAGTGTTGTTATCGAGCACCTATGATAACCGACACGGCACACGAGGGGGTGGGTGGCCAGCACCATGCTCAGCCATCTTTGTCTCTCGAGTGGCGATGTTTACACATCGCACCAGGTACTCATTTGAAGGCTGAGCTGACCTAGGGGAGAATCAGGACCGGTTCAGATAATCGTCACTGGCGTTGGCCGTGAGCGGGAATCGTACTCGGGTCGCCGGGTTCGTATCGCTGCGCGCTAACCACTGCGCGACCGCTCGTGGTTAAATAACCACGATGACACATTACAGCGTCTTGCTGCGGATATGAAATGAGGCGCTAATGTTACTTTCTGGCTAATGCGGCAAAACAAAACGGTTCCAAGGAGAGATCAAAATTATAATAAAAGAAAAGAAAAAGAGAATTGATTATTTAATCAAATCATGGGAATTCATCCATTGATCGGTGGGAGTGAATCATCATATGCCAAACACAGGCATACAGCGACTTTCATTCTCATCGCGCGTGTACGGAAGGCGATGTGTTCGTTATTATAACCGACTTTATTTAGTATGGAGCGAGGGCTGATTGAGATTGCGTCTCGTTTGCAATACAAACCGACACAATCGAAGTATAGCATTGAGCAGACACGCTTGCGACGGAGCGGCTCGTGGCGTTGCAAGTCGGCGTTTGAGCTACGCGCCAGGACAACGTGACCTTTCCCTTCACGTTAGAAATAAAATTAAGGGAATTGAATTGAATTGCGTGCCGCCCTTTGACACGCAACGATGATTTAAAGCCTTTACAGACGACACGGACAATAAATCGGGAGTTACTTCATGATATTACGACGCAAGGGTCAGCGGATGCATGAAGCTGTTACGAGAGAGGGGAGAGATATTGTGGTGGACAAGTTTGGAGCGTACTTTGTGATTTATGTTCCTACCGGTCCCATGTGGATGTGTGGTGCCTTTAATGGAATGAGACTCTTACAGCGCCAACATAATTTCCCCCCTGCGTGCAGCGTGTTTTCTCGTGAGATGGCTAAGTGTGTGCCGTAGCCTTGGGTAATTCTGCTGTAGAGTGGTGTCTGCCAAAGAAAAGGTCTGCGAGCCCAAATGTTTCTGGATTGCAGGACGTGTGACCACTTACAGAGCGAACGTTTCAAACCAACACGCGCAAGAACGTGAAAATGCACTCTGCCCTTGTGCATTATGCAAAGCCATCATTCTCTGAGAAGCAGTGGATTTCATGAACAAGTACATTGTGGTCCTCTTGTCTGAAGTCACCGTCACAATATATTGGCACAGATGTGACCGACCTGACAGGCAGCAGTGACACAGAGGATAGACATCTGTAGACCGTTGGAACCTCCTTTGCCAGTAGCAAAATATGATCATTGGTTATTTTACCCTTTTATCTGGCAACAAAACTGACACCTTTTGGCGTCATCTGGTCCAACACCATGTGAGACTAGGCTCTAAGGAAAGATGTCTCGGGTGTGGATCCAATCAATTTCAAGGACAGTGCATACATTATCAGAGTTGTGTGTTTTTTGCTTGCATTCCGACTGCAGGTATTGTGGTCAATGCAAACATGACTCCTTGTAAAAAAAAGGTGTCAGTTTTGTTGCCAGATAAAAGGGTAAAAACCAATTATCTGTAGACCCGTTTTGTCCTTGTTAGGACTCATCAGAATGTTGCAGTCACCAATGCTCGCTGCTGCTGCAAACGTGTTCATCTGTGAACCACGTATGTGGAGTCCCCCCCCCACTTCCACACAATGGGGGCCCATTGGCCTGGCTAATGCCAACAGTAATGACATCTGCAAATGACGATAAAACCTCGTGACAGAGCGAATGAATGCGCAAAAACTCGATGGGCAACGTCAGGCGGCAGCCGTGTGATTGCTAGCGGAGGCAGCGCGCTCGGGTGGTCGTTGACAAGCAGCGCAGTGCATGGTGCCACGCCGTACTGGCTTGTCGGGTTTTTGTGGTGTGCGTCTGTGCGTGTGTCTTTGTGCATGCAGACTGACGATACAATACAATAGGTGCGTCCAACACAATTGCAGGTCCGAGCTCACTTTTCCAAGGGAGACCTTGCTTGAAAGAAATAAAGGTTTGCGTGCAACTATTAAAAGCGGTGCGTTGCTGTTGCACTGTAAGACCACGAGAGATGGCAACGGCTTGGGGAGGCCATCGTCCAGCAGTGGATGGATCTTGCCTGGCGATGATGACCATAATGGAGGAGCACTCTCTCTGGTCCCGTTCGTTTTTCGATGGAATCGTTTTTTGTTGTTGTAAAAATGTAGCTCCATCACCCGTGATGAATGACCCCTCCTAACAAAGGGTTCTGGGATCACCTTGCCCTGCACATCTGTAATCCCTTTTAATTACCGGTCGTTATTTTGATACGGGCTCACAATGGGCGTGCTTTTGTGCAAAGAAGACCAATGTCCTGAGGCAGGTGGTGGTGTAAGATAGTCGTCTACTGTGAATGATGGCGCACTTTTTACTTTACCCCCAGGGATAGCCATCCTCCTCACAGCATAGATTACCATTGCAATGGGACACATTACCATCACAATGGAGGGCAATGGCTCTGGAAGATTTGCGGTCTCGTCCTGTTCTCAGCTCGCAGTGTTTACCCCCTGGCTGGTTACCATGCTGGTTTGTCTGTGAATCACAGCATCAAAAAGGTGTTTGCCTCTTTTTCTAAAATACCATCCCGGTTGTGTGATGGACGTCGAAGGGTGTACAGTACAACCTTGCATTGCGAGTAACTTGGTCTGCGAAGTGTTTTACAAGACGAGCAAATTTTTTAAAAATATATTAATTTGATAAACGAGCGAGGTCTTGCAATACGAGTAGTACGTGTATACGCTTTGTCTGCCGAGCGTCACGTGATCACAACTGATGTACGAGTGCTTTGGATTACAAACACGTTTCCGGAACGAATTATGCTCGCAATCCAAGGTTTTACTACATTCGGATCTTTTGCAGAACAGCAGCACAACTCTCTTGTGTTTGAGAACGCCCCATGGAAGTGGATACTGCAGAGCTACTACCTCGGAGATGCCTTCACTTGACCTTTGGCCACTGAGGGCAATGCTCAACGCCTGATGGTCAATCCCATTTATAGAATTGTCACCACAGGAATCTTGCCAAAATTAAGTGCAGAAACAAATTGAATGAGTTTTTTTTTTTTTCTGCAGTTATTTGTGACTGGGCTGATAGACCATCAACTATCTACACTTGAGAACAGTGGAGGACTGCTGAAATGAAGACGCAACCCAAATTAAAATCTTGTAGATGCGTACCTCAGCTGTTGTATTCCAGGCTGTCTGAAATGAGTTAAAGTCAGAGTTTAACCCGTCATTATGGCACTCGTGATCACTCTCTCACATTTATAAAAAGTTACTGCAGGAATGTCAGTAGAGTGCTATTACAGACCACCCAACCATGAAATACAAGTAATATTTTCAATGATTAACAAAGCTTCAAACTGTTGTTGGGTAGCCCAGGACGCAGTGGCAGTGTAGGCGAGTGTCTACAAGATGTGCGATGCATGTCTTTGTTTTTTGGGTTGCGACTTTGAGTCGCATGTGGACCCAGTACCTTTGACCAATACACCAGGAATGCACCCAGTCTTAGTAGAGCTAAGAAGCAGGCTTTGGGCCTGGATTTTGTTTGAATAAGCAACCACCATGAAGAACAGCTTCTTATCGGCTGTGGAACTATTTGATGGGTTCGCAGAGGGCAGTGCAGCAACATGACTTGTTGTACTGTGCTTTTATATGCTCCCTTGGCTACGTTTCCCTCCAAATCACGCTGACCAGAGCGAAGAAGTGGTCAAATAACCTCTGCAACTTACACGAGGTGACGAAGGCCCTCATCCAGCAGTAGGCTGGCGAAAGCGTTGTTCGCGTGCGTACAGTTGACCAAATTAGCAGTTGGTAAATAACTGATGGTAGACTTTGTGTTCATTGTCAAGACTCCATTTGGGCTAAAATGTGGCCAGGAAAATAGTTGGTGTGTCTGAGATGATCGTGACAAATGAGTCATTGTAACATGATCTCGGCACCAGGGGTGGCAGGACTGGCTGTCGCGGTGGCTTGGGTGTGTGACAAAATGACTCATCAATAGAATAAACCTCTAACAGTAAAATGAGTCTCGGGGCCACCAGAAGTATGATTGTAATCCCTTATCTTTTTGTCCACGGAAAAATAGACGCTTGATTGTCATTTGTTGGGACACGCTTCGCTTGTCCTCCCTCATATTTGCTCCATAAAGAAGCCATTAGCAAGCAATACAATCCACTGCCACAATTGCATTCGCGTTATATCATGTATAGCCTATTTCAACGGTAAGTGCTTTTTTTTTTTTACAATGATAGGATGGCCATTTCCCGTGGTTATTTTGACCGCTGTGCACCGCTCTGCTTGGCTGCATGATCTGTAAAGCCAACTGTATGTTCCGCATTGGTGGCTTGAACCGCCACCTAGCTACACGTTTACAAAACACGTTCCTTCGGAGCGGGAAGGTAGGAACTTGGTTGGACAGCACATTCGTGCACGACAGACAAAAAATCCCTGGTGGGCAGTGTGGATCCTGTTGTTCCTACCTGTATTAATGGTAGGGCTATCTGCATCGACCAATTCACATAAACAACTCAACGTGGTACGGGAAGGGGATAAGACTGGCTGTGATGTGGAAAGCCAAACCAGGACTGGTTCGGTACTGTTCCTCTGGAACGAAGCATTCCAAACTACATTTGTTATCGACCCACCACAGTGAGTCTTCTCAAATTTACCAAATTGCCTCCGTCTGAATACACCCTTGTTGACGCACCTGATAACTAAACACATGTGACATGGTGTGGAGAGCACCGATTCAGGTTAGGATGGTGATCTTGTCTTTGTGTATGCATGTTTTTGGCATGAGACGTGGGACACTTTTAGCCATCATCAGGCATGCGATGTGCTGTAGCTCATTTGTATTTTAACGAAGGTGAATTGGTCACCTCGGGACAGACTTACCCCGCGGTGCCTCACGAGGAATTTAGTTTGAGGGTGACGTACTGCACTGCCACGCCGGATCTCAATTCCAGGCACCGGGAGCTAAATCCAGTCTGAGCGCTCGCACCACCGTTGTTTCAGGTAGACGGCTCACGTGAACTTATCACCCAAAACGATGCAAATGGATTACCGTAAGCCCCAGAGCCAATGGGTCTGTGATGCTGCTGCTGCTGCGGGGTCCGCATTGTGTTTGGAGAATTCCCCCCGGGTGCCACGGCTTGATTACCGTGTTTCACCCCCCCCCACCCTCCCGCTTCCCTCCCTTCCTCCTCCTTCCCGCTACCCCACCTCAACCTCGTGGGAATTGCCCCTTGCCTCTGGTTCCAGAAACCAAATTCCACAACCCTCCCCCCCCCTCGCACATCCCCACAAAAAAATGAACGTACAAAAAATGTCACAATTAAAAACTGGATATAAATGCAGGCCCACGGCAGTTCGAATGTCGCCCGTATTTCCAATCTGGGGCGCTCTTGATTAAGGTGCGTACATGTACAGGCCTTTGTCAATCCACTGCTGATGAAGGCCTCTGAGCATAATGCAGGTCACGCAGGTTATTTTACCATAACTCACCAAAACTGGTGAGCATTGACGCGGGGACATAGAAGTGCAGTGCAACTATGGAACTTGCTGCCCGCCATGTAGCCTCACAGCCTATTACAACTGTCATACATGTTGGCCGCCCATTCAAGCACTGTGCAGGCTCAATCCTACTTGGGTATCTAGGTATGATGATGGGATGGGGAAAATTCCAGGTGATTTGGTCATAGGCTAGATGTTATGATATCATCACTTATTATAATAATACAATGTACCAGCCAGCTGGAGCAGCAGTAGAGTTTAGAGCTCACATTGGAAGGTTGTATTTTCGAATCCTGATCAGCAATCAACTCAGCCCATCATCATCACTTCAGGGTCGATAAAAAGGCTACCGCTTTGTGAGGAAGTCACTGGTTGGTCTATCCAACAACTCACCCCCACCATATGGATGTGGAATGTTCACCACGAGCTCAGTTCTATACACCGGAACCGAGCAGTTGCTCAATTGAACGGGAAACTAATTTGACATTTTTGACTTTTGAATGCACGTGGGCGGGTTTGAGACTTGTTGGCAATATTTTCCGGCCATTTTTCCAAGATAAAACCATTCGCAGAATACACAGCTTGAGTGGTCAAAATGGGGAGAGGTTTATTTTTATTTTGGCGTTGTGCTGACCATGACGACGATGGTGTCTCAAACTGCCATGTCATCGTGTGCTGCTGTTAGTTGGCCAACATTTTAATGGACCTCCAGTAATTGCATTTTAATTCAATAATACCCACATCCTCTCTAATAGGTGTGCATGGCGCTGATAAGGAAATATATATGTATATCAGATTACACCAATATCCCGGAAAATCTGACCCATTTTCACTGATACATAGATCTGGTTGGGAGTGACCAAGCTGGTAGGTGATGGTGTGTTTGAAGTGGTAAAAAAAGCCACTATTAAAATGTGACTTCATATTTTTGGTCAAATAATTAAATTCCAACATGGGAGCATTAGACAATGTTCTCACAGTTTCTTGTGATTGCTGATGAGCGCTTGCATTTATTGAGTACTTAAATACCATGGTACCTCAAAGCCCCTCTCATGCCAGGGCATTGATCATCAATGCACACACACGAGAACACAAAGATCGCCCATATTGGCATTACAACCTATGAAGGCTGGCATGATGCACGCAGCAGTCACGTGACCAGGACTACGCCCAGCCGCCTTGTCTCTCCATTGGCAACGTTTACACACCGCACCAGTCACTCATTTGAGGCTAAATTATCATTGGTGAGGCCCCAGACCGGTTTCAAATATCCATCACTGCTGTTGTCTACAAGTGTTTTCCGAGTCACAATTCCATTAACTTGGATGCGGCTATTTACTGCGCACCACCCCCAGTCGCTCCTGGGATCTGACCCCCCCCCGCCCCACACCCCGCGCCCCACCGCCGGTTACATCGAGCGCACGGGACGTGACGACTTTGCGCCTTTTAAAACGCAGTCCGCCGCTGCACCCCTCCCGTGCGTGACGCACGCAGGTGACACGGATACCGCCAGAGGGCGTAGGGTGCGCACACCTGCTGGCGTGCGACGCGTGCGTCCGCGCGCCTCCCTTTGCGCGCTGCGGCTGGTGCAGCACGGGGACGTGCTCGCAGAGCTTCGAGTGCACGGCGGGGGGGCGCTGGAGCTCGGACTCCTGCCCTCCGGTCGTCTCCCAGGTGAGGGGGCCGCGAGCGTGCCATCGGCGTCGCGGCGTCAGGCGGAGATTGCGTTCGTGACTGTCGGCGCAGCAGGGCGGCACCCTGCACTGGAGGATGGCCTGCGGAAGCAGACATTACAGAACTGCTTCTGAGATCCCATCCATGATCTGTTGTCCACACAGTGGGAGGCTGAGAAATCGGTGTTCGTCACTAGAGTCAAACTCGTATTTTTAATTCTCAGAGCTTGAATTCAGCAAAATTAAGTGCATATTCCAATTTATTTTAAATCCGAATATGCACTTAATTTTGCTAAAGTCTATCTCTGAAAATTTAAAATATTATTTTGACTTAACTCGCTATCAGATATGTGTGTGAGTTCACATCCTGCCCAGAGGTCAACTTTACCCATCATCTGTACATGCAGTTTAGAATTTAGCGTGAAGTCAACAGTCACTGTCTCGTGGAGTAACTCGCCCTTGCCATAGGCATGTGTAATATCATCAACCAGCTCAGCGCCGCAAGTGAAGATGGGCATGGCCCGCACTTTTGTAAGCGTGACGACGCTTTGAAATCGGGCGTTCACACACAAACAACGTTTTCAAAGGTGGATTTTTTTTTGCCCCGCGGGGATTTTTCCCGCAGTTCTTTCCTACTGTCGGCGCCGGTGTCAGGAGGCACGCGGCTCACGCTGTGCGGGAAGCACCTGCTGGAGATCACGGACGACATCGCGAGCAGGCGCCAGGAGGAGACCGCCGTCACTGTCGGAGCGGTGGACTGCATCCTCGATCGTCAGAACAGCAACGACACACTGTACGCGAGGGCACACTGTACGCGAGGGGACACGGAGCCACGATGGAAGACTCGCTCGCAGACTCGCTCACAGACTCACTCATAGACTTAGTGGCAGACTCACTCGCAGACTCACTCGCAGACTCACTCACAGACTTAGTGGCAGACTCACTCACAGACTCACTCACAGACTTAGTGGCAGACTCACTCACAGACTCACTCACAGACTTAGTGGCAGACTCACTCACAGACTCACTCACAGACTTAGTGGCAGACTCACTCACAGACTCACTCACAGACTTAGTGGCAGACTCACTCACAGACTCACTCACAGACTTAGTGGCAGACTCGCTCGCAGACTCACTCACAGACTCACTCACAGACTTGGTGGCAGGCTCACTCGTAGACTCACTCGCAGACTCACTCGCTGATATGCTTGACAAGCGGAGTCGTAGCGCCCTCCTCAACATCGACCGACCTGCCGAAGTTGTCCAAGATTTTTTCATCAAGGCCCCAGGATTTATCTTGACCTGCCACAGTCACTTGCGTCTGGGTGGACCTGGGAGCCGTTTCCAGTAGCTCCAGGTCTTGTGCTGCGTGGTCGGATAGCGACGCAGAAGTCCAAGGGTGGCATGAGGCGGCTTGTCGATGGGCATCGGTCTGACACGTCCAAACTAAGTCGGGCGTCTCGCAGCCATCAGACCGGTTGGTTTAGCGCAGGCCGGTGCACTCCGTGATTCCTTATTGCTTAACAATACAGAATCGGCGACGTGTAGATGTCCGATGAACTCGCGGTGGCGCTCGGAGAGAAGATGGATTAGTGAGATGAAGCGGAGGCGAACAAGAGTTTGAATTGAGAGAGCTGTGGGATGCAGCGCAGGTGACGGTTATTGAAATGAATGTGAGAGGAGCAAGAGAGAGGAAAGACCTGGATACAAGAGGTACAGATTGATGGTCACATATATGAACGTTATGGCGTCACAACACCATGTGATATAATAACACGTGACGTCAAATGGCCCACCAGCACACGACAAGTTTTGTTATGTGGCCCACTGGAAAATAGAGCCTAATAACAAGTTGAAATGGGAAATATTTGCGTGTGTTATCGTACATATGTATATACAGATTAATAATTGATTTAGCATTTAGCCAAGTAATGGTCTGACCAAATTCTTGTCATGAACCCCTCCCACCCCCAGCCATCTGACGTAGAAAAACAAAATCACGTTTCGTGTGCACAGTAATTTATTATCGATTCAGCTCGCCCGCAAGTTGATGTACAATCCTCACGACCACATTAATGAATCGGTGAAATGCGACGTTTCACTTGGAGCTGTGGTGAGCACGTGTGTCATCGCCAACAGCCTGGTGTGCGTCCTGGGGCCGACGAGCAGTCGGGAGAAGCTCGGCCGCGTCGTGCAAGTGAACGTCACCACCCCCAGGGGGGGCTCCACCCTCGTGGAGGGATTTGAATTTGTGGTGAGTTATCCGGTGCGCTGCGCGCGTGTGTACTTGCGCGTGCGTGTGTGTGCTCGCGCGCGTGCTTGTGTATGAAGAATATTTAAACCGGTTCCGGGCCTCTCCTAGGTTGACTCAGCCTTAAACGTGTGTCTGGCCATCCATGATGCTGACCATCCCTCCCCCCATGCGTGGCATCAGCCTTCATTGATGCTCGCGAATGGCAATTGCCCCTACAGCCCGTTAAAAGGCAATACGGGGAAATTTATTTTTGTGTGTGGAGCGCGAGAGTGCAGCGGTTAGCACACTGCGCTACGAACTCGGTCACCCGAGTTCAATTGCCCCTCACAGCTGGAAACTCCCCCGCCAGTGGCGTTGTGGCCACCGCCTTCCAAGTCGTGACCAGCGGCTGTGTGCGTGTCGCTGCCGAGGGACGCAGGTCCCAGAGGTGACAAAGATCTCGCCCGCGTTTGGCCCGCTTTCCGGGATGACTCTGCTCACGCTGGAGGGGAAACACCTCTCCGCCGGCTTCCGATCGGCAGGTCCTAGTCGGAGGCAAGCCCTGCCTCGTTGTCAGGTACGGCCGCGAATTTTTATTGCTAAACAAAGTTTTTTATCTTGCCAGATAAGGGCCACTTGAGCTATGTAGCTATCTTTCAGAAGCGACCTGGCTACCACAATTGATAGCTCAACGAAGTGGCTTTTTATCGTGTGGAAATGCTTAACAGGCGAATACTCTAAATGCATGTTGATTCTAAATGTGGAGGGAAAATCTGGAAGACCCGGAGAGAAAAATCCACACGACCACTGGGAGAGAGACATGCAAACTCCAAATATACAGGCCTCAGAGTCTAGATTTACAAGTGCATAGCTCCAGTGGCTTACTCAGGAAGAGCGTTCCAGACGGCCGCAGAACCACATCTGAATGCGCGCGATGCAGTGACCATCTTTGTTCGATGGCCAGCCAAAAGCCAGCTGCTGCCAGGATGACCGGAATTCACGTGACGGTTTATACTCCTTGACGAGATCAGCGAGGTGTTCTGATTAAAGCACAGGTGATTCCTGCTCACGGGCAACACCAGTGACAATTATCTGAACTGGTCATGGTGCCTCCCCTAAGTCCACACAGCCTCAAAATGAGTACCTGGTGCGGTGTGTAAACATCGCCACTGGGGAGACAAACGCGGTCGGGCGTGGTGCTGGCCACCCACCGTCCCGTGTACCGTGCCAGCCTTCATAGGTGCTCGCTAACAGCACCAAAATTCTGTTAAGGCTACACGGGCGAATCTTTGTCTTTGTGCGCCAGCTTTACAGAAACAACGATCGTGTGCACCACTCCCAAGCACACCGCGCTGGAAGAACTTCCCGTCGTCTGTAAGATCGATGACTCCATGTCCCCCACCCAAGCGTTCCGCTACCGCCCGGACCCCAACATCTCCAGCATCCACCCCAGCAGCAGCTTCATTGGGTGAGAGATTCCTGGTCGAGGAAAAATGAAGAGGACTCTCTCACACGTGACTTGGCTTGCCCGCTTAATTATTTTGTTATTTATATTCCGCACGGCGACTATCCAGGGCAGTCGCAATGTATCTTGTGAACATAACCCATCGCAAATACACGTTTTAGTGTAAATTTATTTTGTCGTTAGATATTTACTGTCGGGAAAGTACATCAAAGGATTGTAGAAAAAAATGTGGTGATAAAAAAACAGTACTAAAAGTTTTCGTCTTGATGATCAAGGCGATGGCGTCTTTCCGTGTGACGTCATCTCACGACGTCACATATCATATACCCGTGTGACATCACATTATGTACAACCTGGAATGTAACGTTATTATTGCTAATTTTAGTTTTCCTTCCCTGGCACTTCCGAGTTTGCTGTCCTCCCACACCTCCGATTAACACGGTTGGCTACGTACGGTGCGAAAGAAGTTGAACACACATATATTCATAATGAAGTAGTAATAAGTTTTTACCCTTTTATCTGGCACCAAACCTGGCAGCTTTATACAAGGGATCATGTTTGCAATAACCACAACACAAGCAGTCAAAATGCAAACAAAAAGAGACAACTCTGATAATGATATGCACAGTCCTTGAAATTGATTGCACCACACCCGAGTTGGCTTTTCTTAGAGCCTAGTCTCCACTGGTGTTGGACCAGATGACACCAAAAGGCATACAACTCAAAAACAGCGCACTGAGTATTGAGAGCTCAGGGTAAGCATTTACATTATGAGGACAAACGTGCGTTGAAACCGCTTGTGCAACATTTTTCTTCCCTCCTTTTTACGAGCCGAAATCCGTTTTCGTCCAATGTTTGTGCCTCCCTCGTGTGCAGCAGCGGGGACTGTCACGTCAACGTGTTCGGCTCGAATCTCGACTCGGTGCTCCACCCCCAGATAGTCATCCAGGAGTCGAGCACAACGGGGAGCACCAAGGTAGCTGGAGCCTGCCGGGCGCCGCGGTGGGGAGGTGGGCGGGTACCTCAGGGGGCACGGGGACTCTCGATCTGCTGCCACCCACTAAGATTTTCTGGGTTCGAATCGTGGTTTGCAGCCACCCAGTCATGAAACCGTGTTCTCTCAAGTGTGACGAGCTGATTGTCCCAACCTCGTTACCACTTGACCTATATGTTCTACGTGCTGAGAATGATAAAAGTACACATTATTGGCATGTAACAAACTTTGTCAAATGCGGCATTGGGAGAGGAGGCCTTCCTCCAGAAGGAAATTGACAATAAACTGTACGTTTCGATTTAAAGCTTTCGTGACTGCAGGGATTCATCTTCTTGGTTCTTTCGGTAAAGTCACGTAGAGGGGAAATAATAATATTTTATTATGTTTTATTTTTAGTATTTTATTATTTCGCTTCTACGTGACTTTACCGAAAGAACCAAGAAGATGAAACTGTACGTTGTTATTATTATTGATATGGGCTCTGGCATGTGGCACTGGTGGTTTCCTCCTCTGTAGGACTGTGTGGTGATGGAACATGGCTTGGAGATGTTGTGCCTGGCTCCCGAGCCTGCACAGGGCCCAGGCATCGCGCAGCTCACCTTCAAGTTTGACAGACTCAACGTGGGCAGCTTCAGCATGACCTACCTCAAGAAGCCGCCCTTCTTCATGCTGCCTATCGCCAACCCCACCGTGATCACCACCTCCGGCTCCCAGATCAACATCACCGTTATGTGACCCTCGATATTAGTACTCCGGGTGGCTGGGTGTACGTAGCTTACAGATCGGCGCTAAACATTAATGGAGTGCATGAACTAATTCCCACTCGGTCTTTTATGTACGCTTTAATTCTACGAGTGGTCAAACGGGAACGCGTGTATTCGAGAACAAACGGGTGATATATATATAGATATCGTTCTGACTGTTAAGAGAAGTAAGTGAGCTTGGACAGGACATGTCGACAGCCAGCGGTGATGGCCGCTGGATAGAGACAAATTACCGGGTGGCAGCCAAGGGAGGGATCGTGCCCAAGCTGATGTTTACCGAGGGGATAGAGCGGTGAATCGGCTCCTGTGCAGGCACTGGGTGGATTGTTACTTCGACGAGTCCTGCCCCTAGCCTTCATACTTTTAAGATAATAATAATGATTTACTTGAATATATTTGAATACGTTGAGTTATTTCTGCTTTTCATTCGAAACCCAGTGGAAATCTGTCGAGCACTGAACCCAGTATGCTCACGTGCTCCGTCTGTGTGCGTTTGCGTGTGCCTGCTGCACTTGCAGAGCGAGGCGCTTGCAAAGCTGGTGCAGTTGTACCAAGTGACGCTGATGGTGGACACGTGGAGGTGCGGTGATGTGACCGTGGGCCCCACGTGGGTGTCGTGCAAGATCCCAGGGGAAGCCATGGCTGAGTCAACCAGAGACAGCCTGCCGCTGTCGGTGAGTGATAATATGAGGATTCGAAATTAATATTTAGCTTAGGCCACGTCATAATTTGGCCAAATTTCTCTCGTGAGACCCTGCACCGGCATTTTACCATTTAGATACGAGGTTTCGCTTGAGACTCTGTCAAGCATCTTCAGGATAGGATCCAGGAAGTCAGATTTAAATCCAGGAATTGAGACGTACGTGCAAAATTTTACTTGTGATAATTGTTCAACTCACTGGTGAGCTGAAACGCTAATAATTGCTTTGCGTAATGCTTATACACATGACAATTACATTTGTTTGGCTATTTTCAGATGGTATAGGGTCACACAACACAAATTTGACCAGATCTTTAACGTAGGCTAATCCAAAATGATATGATGCGGAAATCTACGTGTTAAGTTAAATTGCAATAACCTACCTCTGGCTCGATACGATCCATTACTCCATTTTATACGGCCCATGGTCACCTGAGGCCTGCCACTTCAAAACAGTCCACGAAATATATGTATCTGTCACTGCAAGCATCTTAGTTGCACTTATCGGGTATTCGAGGGAAATATTTTTGACCGAGCAACAATATGTTGCTATCTTTTGCATGCTTCGTCACCTGTTGTCTTGCAAGTAGTTCCGTACACACAGTCAATGTATGTCCTGCCAACGGTGTTTGAAAGTCCGATTTGGCGCTCAGTGTGGAAAGGTTCCCCAGCCCTGCCTTAGGTCAAACCGATTGTCATTGTCGCCATCATCATCATCATCAGATAACATTGTATTTTCATAATTGTTGGCACCCGTTAGATGTAGATTTTCTGGACTGGTCACGACTTTCCATAGCGGTAGCCGCCAGTGCAAAAATAGGGGCGCTTTTCCATTATAAGCGCCTAGTCACATGACCTCACTGCCACCATTGCTTTTCTTGCTACAAAAAGCCATTGTATTTAAATAAAAATTTACTCCAATTTTTTTCGTCACAGTTAATCACCGTCAATCATTTTTATTTTCATCATCGCCATCAAGGACGGTAAAGTTCAGTTGCGAATTTTTATAGTTGTCATCAAGAACAGTAAAAGTAAGATTAATCGTCGACAGGCAACACAACCAGGAACATGTCTGAGAGGTTATCCGCCGCTAGAATGGAGAAATTATTATATCAGCTCTTGTGCAAGTGTTGGGCGGATTGTTACACCGATGGACCAAGAGATGGCGCGGGTTTGAGAGGCTTTCATCCAGCAATGAATTGATCATAGATGATGATGATGATAATAACAATAGTAATGGAAGTTAGGAGGTAGGGCAGTCGCGTATCGCCACAACGATCTTGCGGAGACGCTATGGGGAGGTCGCTCGCTCGCTCTCACCCTCGCGCGTGTTTTGCGTCACGCTCAGGTGAACCTGTGTCAGCTGAAGCGCATCCTCGAGGAGGTGAAGCTGCCACCGCGCCACAACCACACAGTGGGCGTCGTCGTCGGCCTCCTCATGGCCGCCCTGGTCATCGCCATCGCCGCATTCGCCGTGCTGCGCGCCCAACGCTTCAGGAAGAAAGGTAGCGGCGGCAGCAATGGCGGCGGCGCCAATCCCCAGGCTTCCACGAACTGGGACGGCGGAATATGAGGGAGACCTCATGCGATACGAGGCTTTTGGCTGGCCATCGAACAAAGACGGTCGCCGCGTCGCGCGCATACAGATGCGCTTCTGCAGCCGATATTAGGATGCAATTGGAGCTATGCACTTTTAAATCACGTTTGTCACGTAAACAAAACGTGCCACTTCATTACTACTTCAGCACACCGGTGTGTTGGAGTATAAACCCACAGCATTTACAATTTGAGTTTCATCAGGCGATTATGGCATAATAGTAACTAATTGGCACGTTTTGTTTACGTGGCAAACCTTACTAATTGGCTGTGTCGGATGGTCGCGGGTTTAATGACACATTTATATTAACGCGATCTAACCTAAAAAAAATTATTGTTCGCGATAAATCTCGTTTAACGTGTGGGCTGCTGCGCATCGGGGACCAAGTCATACCCTCCCCTACGCGATGCCGCTCGGCGACTCCATCTTTGTCTTTCATGAAGGAACCGGCCGCACGCGCCGCTCTCGTTGACTCTTTCAGGCTCCAACCACGCGGCCGTGAATGGACATCCCAACCTGGAGCTGTTGTCAGAGGATCGGCGAAACAGCCGCGTGGAGGTGTCCACCCTACTGCGGCCCAACACCGACTACAGGGAGCCTCTCCTGAGCGGTGGGGACGCCTGACTCGGATTTAAAACTGATTTCTTTGGAAGCGTATTCTTCGGGTCTTTCGGTAAAGTCACGTAGATAGGTTTAAAGTAATACAAATAAATAAACAAAAAACTACGACGTTTCGATCGCAACACAAGCGGTCGTCATCAGGCGGAGAGAAAAGGGGGGTAAGCCTCTAAATGCAACTGTTTATAAAGGTTTAAAATGGGCATCGCCCAAGTGTCAGAACGGAATGGGCGGGGCACAAGAGTCTAGGCCAGCAGTAGATTCATCGGAAGCGCTTTGTTGTTGTCTTTCGTTTGGTGTCCTTCCCCCGCACCACCGATTAGCAAAGTTGGCTACGTACGGTGCGAAAGAAGTTCAACATACACACGTTGACTACGTAGTCGCAGAATTTTGCAGATTGTATGTCTTTCTTTTATTTATAAAAATGCTGCTATCGTCTTCATTGTCGTGAAATAATGTTTACCTGCAGAGTTCTCGCAGCGATTGGCACCACCTTGTGTCAGAGAATGGTCGCGGAAGATGATGTCACAACCACTTCTGTCACTGCTGACAGATCGCTTTGACAACACTGGTGGAAAACCTATTAAAGCCCCGCAGAGATGATTACATGTGACGTTTCTGCAAAGCTAAAAAATAAAAATAGTAAAATCATACCTTTTCACATTTTAGGGGTAATTATAATAATAGTAGTTCAATTTGTAACGCGCGCAAATTTGCAGACATAGTGGCCGCAACTCAGAGGCGCGGAGCCAAGCTCAGAGTCGCTCAAAAGCATGATTGTAGAGGTGAGTTTTTAAGTGTCTCTTGAAGGAGGCGATTGAGGTGATGCTGCGAATGTGCAGAGGGGTGATGGCGTTCAAGACTGTTGGGGCTGCCACCGAGAAGCGGCGCATAGACATGACCATCCTGGATCTTGGTATCAAGAGGAGGTCGTGAGTCGCGCTGCGCAGGCATCTGCCGTGTGCTGAGCTGCAAGTTGTCAATAATGAAGAAAGCTCCTTTTGTGATGCTTATTCAAGGACACGCTCTAGTTCTGTGATATCTTCTTCCATGAGCCGTTCTCCAACCCGGGGGCTGCGATGCATCGCTCTGCGACAGTTCCGCGAGGACATTTGTCTCGTGACTTGTTATTAAATGGCATAACATCGGGACCAATGTGTACCTATTCATCTGACTGAATAGAATGTTTCTTTTAAAATGTATGTTTGCTGTGGCTCCCTGTGGCTCAGAGCATGAACTTGCCAGTGCGCCGTCAGGCTCCGCCGAGTCATGGGGCACGGTGTTCAGCCCCGGCTACCGGGTAGGGGACCGAGGGGGGGTCGGGGGGGTCAGGCGGATGACCTCGGTGGAGGTGCTGAGGCTCGACCTCCTGAACCCCGCGCTGCTGGACGAGGTGCGGCCCGTGCTCATCCCAGAGTCGGAGCTGAGCGTGCACGGAGATCGCGTCATCGGCAAGGGTGAGGAGGAGGTGTTTATTTATACTTGAGGGATCTGATGAGCGATAGAGTTTTTTTTTTTCATAGATGTCCAGTTGGGGCGGGTCAGAACGTTACAACAGCAAACAATATATAAAAACATGATGCAAAGCATAGGAAAGGTAAATAAATCGCTTTAAAAAATATACAAATAAAACTACAATTTTTTTTACATTACTAGGTAAAGCCCACGAAGGTTTTTAACTTATTTTTCAGAAGTGGCCTTGCCACTAATGATGGCTCAACAAAGTGGCTTTTCACGTGGAAACTTCTAGCAGTGAAATAATCTGGGTGCATCATGCGAGGAAGAGTGAAGATGTACAAATATTCGGGGGGTTGGTTATGATCGAGAAGTACAATGGAGGGAGAAGAGGAGTGAATGACAGAGCAGAATAGAGGAACAGAGAGGCTCGAGAGATGGAACAAGGCAGGGGGGAGGAGGAGAAAGATGCAGTGACAAATGAGAGGTTAAGAGAGAACAAGCAGATGGAGAGAGAACGACGAGGTGAGAGCCCGTTGAGACAAAAGTCTCCTCCGAGGGAGACCTGGGGAGAGAGATAGAAACAGTAGGAAGGAAATAGGGAGGGAGGGAGGGAGGGAGGGAGGGAGGGAGGGAGGGAGGGAGGGAGGGAGGGAGGGAGGGAGGGAGGGAGGGAGGGGGAGAGAGAGAGAGTGAAATAGACGAAGAAGGGAAAGGGGCAAAGGGAGAGAGCGCGCCAAAGGTGTGTGAGGAGGAAAAGACAACGTGGAGTGAGGAGCGATGTGAGAAAGAGAGAATTCAAGACCTAGAGAGTGCAAAATAAACAGAATACGAAAATGAAAAAATGTGGATTGTTAAAGTAATCGTTATAAATGGGAAATTTACTGAAATTGATGCTTAGAACTCCATACTTGGTAGATGTGTTTATACATTATATTCGATGGGTTAATTATGAATGAGGTAGATTTTACAACAGAAGATGATATTGCTTCTTGTTCAACTTATCATGATTTGCGACAGCAGTGATAACTCTGCGCCTATGACGACACTGTAACGAAGTCGGTTGAAACAACGCCGACGACAACGACAACAACAATAATCATAAACACACATTTCATGACATTTGACAATAAATCCGAAACGCGTGTTGTTGCAGGTCACTTTGGCTGCGTTTACCATGGCTCTCTGAAAGACTCTAAAAGCAACAAGGAGATCGTTTGTGCCGTGAAGTCCTTGAACAGTGAGTTGCGCGTTTATATTTTATTCACCGATTTCTCCCGTTCTCACATGGGGGCCCCTCCTCAGGGGTCACACACACAAACACGCCGCCTTTTTTTTTTAATCTTTTGCGCGTTTCCCCGCAGCGATGGGCTTTCTCGTCGCTTGCGGAAAGCGTTGGGGTATGAAGCACGTGTTTCTATTATTGATGACGGGGTCAGTGATCATTTCCGCTGGCTCGCAGTGACCTGCTGTTTTTTGTTTTGTTTACGCGTAACAGAAAAGAGCCAACGCGCCGGTTCGATACAAAATACCCTCGCTTGGCAGCAATGTAACGGATTAAGCGAGGCGCGCTCGTTTTAAACGTACTCGGCATTCCATTACCATCTACATCTCCTTCTGTTCAGCTGCATAACGTGTATGTGCGAAAGCTTGTACTGCCAAGCAAATTACTTCGATATTAACAAAATAGAATGGCTGTTTGCAATATAAATTTGGTTAGTTTCCCTTTTAAACCTTAAAATAATAATGTGAAGTGAATTTAAAACAATGACAGCAAAACCCCAACATCAAAAGTCGACATTAAGGGTTGATTGTAAATTTAAATTTGTTGATTTGCATTAAAACTGATGTTTTTATCTCGGGTCAGTTTTACTGCTTAAGATATTTGACCAATCTCTGGGTCGGTTTTTTTCCAAATGCGGGAACTCTGGAGTGCTTGTACAAACCCCACACAACAACAACAACAACCGCCATTCACCACTGAGTAGCGGTGACATCATCACAACGCTTGTGCCACTTTAAGGCCACGTGAAGTGTCGAACGCCCACTGGCAGGAGGTCATGGGACAGACCCAGCAGGTGCCATGGGTCGACTGACCGAGATGACTGGCCGATGCAAACTCCACACACACTTGCGTGCGTGTAAATAAAACTCAAATGTTGCACAGAAAAGTCAACCAACGTATTTGCTGGACTGCCATTGACTAGAATACTCCATTGATTAGAAGTAACGATTACAGTCATGATACCACTAGTAGTACTACAACATGGCACAGTAGATAAAAAAATATAAGTTGATTGGACCGATTTGCCACATTAAAAATAGTGATCATTCATTGAATCGCAGCAATTAATTGATTCACAAATAATTGATTGAATCATGAACACTCGCGGAATTGCAAAGCAGGCAGAATAGGACCAGGTGAATCACTACATTCCTACAAAGACAAAGACCCCCCGTTTAGCCTTAACCAACTGGTGGGGCAAGTGCTGTTAGCGAGTAGCACCTATGAAGGCCAGCACGATACACAGTGGGGTGGGTGGCCAACACCACGTCCGACCGCCTTTATCTCCCCAGTGGCGATGTTTTTACACACTGCACCAAATACTCATTTGAGGCCGAGTTGATCTAGTGGAGGCCCAGGACCGATTCAGATAATCGTCACTGGGTGTTAGCCGTTAGCGGGAATCGAACACGGGACGCCGGATTCATAGCGCAGCACGCTAACCGCTACGTTATATTCCTACTCGCACGCGCACGCACGCGCACGTCTCTCCGCTGCCTGTCTCTGCGCAGGGATCACGGAGGTGGAGGAGGTGGAGCAGTTCCTGCGAGAGGGCATCATCATGAAGGGCTTCCACCACCACAACGTGCTGTCGCTCCTCGGCATCTGCGTGCCCACCCACGGTCTGCCTCTCGTCGTGCTGCCCTACATGCAGCACGGAGATCTGTGCCACTTCATCCGCGACGAGGAGCGGGTGAGCCGCTTCATCGCTCCATCTCCGCGGCAGACGTCCTCTCAATGTATTATTCTCCCCTTTGGCTGCTACTCCATCGTTGGTCTGAACCATCATCGCTTTCTTGCCGTGTGTCTTGCCAAAGCACACTTTCTTTCTTAGCGATTTGAATTATGTCATTCACCCTGCGTACATTCTACAACCCTCACTTTGACTTTCAATTTAATTCCCAGCGTACGCCTCTTCACGCTTGTTTGTGCACTTTTCAGCTTTTGTTTCATCGTATTTGCCAATGTCCATGCTTTGATCCACATGGTGTGTTGCTTTTCATTCATCGTGCTGGATTGCGAATGTATCGCGTTACTCTTTTGCCACATTGCTTTTCCAGAATCCCACGGTCAAGGACCTCATAGGATTTGGTCTCCAGGTGGCCAAAGGCATGGAATACCTGGCACTCAAGAAATTTGTGCACAGAGACCTCGCTGCACGGAACTGCATGTGAGTTGGACACACACAGACACAAGAAACAATTTACAGACGGAACAAGGTGATAGATAGAAAAAAGAAAAAAAGATATCAAACTTAGAGATGTAATGCAACTCGGAGAGTCGGCCAACACAACAGTTAACACTATAAATGGTTGATCAACGTCCTTCCCAAGATTGCTAAATTTTGCATCTATCTTCTCTATCACCTTTTTCCCTCTGTAAATTTTACCCCCACCCTCTCGCCCGTTACGGCAGCCCCTCCCCTCCCCCCCCTCGGATTAGCCGAGGAATGCCTAGCTCTGCGATCTTACATTTACTTGCAAATTCCATCCCTAGCCCCGCCCGCTTACCCTTGGGTTGTACCCACCACAAACGTCTATAACCTCTGGTTGCAGTAGCTCTCTCGCTACGTTTCCTCCTGCCTCAGCAGTCCGCCTGCTGTGTTGTTTCACCTGAAGACGATGGATTGTGTTGCTATCGAAACGTCGTGATCTATTAGCTATTTTTCTATCTACGTGACTTTACCGAAAGAACCAAAAAGTACATAAAGTAACGTTGATCATTAGGCTGAACTTGCCCAATGAGAAAACTATCAACTTCTGTGCCATAATCTATATTAAAAATACTTTATAGTTATAAGCAAAGACTCGACTATATGTACTTGTGCCATTCAGCTCACTAGACATATCATTAGGATTCATATCACTGACTCAGTCACAACAGTTCAGTAAATACTGGTCTATCAATGGCTTATTCCATTTTGAATCTGAATAATGATTACTAAATGTAGCCGGTCTGTGTTGCATCCGCCTCTCCCATGGACAATTGCAATTAACGATTAAACACAAGTCTACGCTACACATATATCGTGAGTGTAAGGATCTATTTTTTGTTGCAAAATCGATACATCATAAAATTGCAATTATCAATATGTAGTGTTGTTTGTTAATAAATGCACTCCAATTTCCTTGTTGCTGCATTCCAATGACCACATCAACTAAAGTAGAGCCACATACATTTTGATGAATTGAAAAACCAGGCGTGGAGTTTTTGTCATGTCAAACTGGAGCCTGGAGCCACTCCTATGCAGAGCCATTCCATTTTTTGCGATCCAGTAGTGTAGAAATTAAGTGCGAAGGTATCACACCTGCCACTGGGGCTTCTGGGCCGGTGTGGCCCCAAGTGCTTGGCTATGAAGACAGAGGGAGACATTGGACAGGGGGTGGCCCCTTTACATTCCTTGCACTGGGCAGAGCCCATGACCGATGTTGCACCACAACTGACGTCATCACCCACACGTTCTGGGATTTGTGTGTAGGCTCGACGAGACGTTCACGGTGAAAGTGGCGGACTTTGGGCTGGCGAGGGACGTGGTGGACAAGGAATACTACAGCGTGACGGCGCACCGTGGCGCCAAGCTGCCCGTCAAGTGGATGGCGCCCGAGAGCCTGCAGACTCAGAAGTTCACCACCAAGTCCGATGTGGCAAGTCCTCCCCCCCCACCCCCATCCCCTCCGTGCCCCACGATGGTGCAGCTGGTAGTGCGTGTTGGTGAAGGAACGGTTGCGTAGACGTGGGAGCGTAGGAGCATGCTACGACAATGGATTTTGCTGTGCTGCCCCTGTGTTTCCCACATCGTAGCCCCACACAGATACCTGCTTACTTTTCCATCCCGAGCAAAACGTAAGGGAATTTTGAGCGCACTTATTGACATTTTTCTAAGTTGGCAGCTCCTTAATGTAACAGTGGCCAGAAGTATATCGAGGATGTGTCGGATGTCTGCGGGGACCAACGCTTGTTCCCGTACCCTGTCCGCCACCCCACTTTTCCCGCCTGCAGTGGTCGTTTGGCGTGCTGGTGTGGGAGCTACTGACGAGGGGGGCCTTCCCCTACTCCGACGTGGACCCCTACGACCTCACGCCCTACCTGCTGAGGGGCCGCCGCTTGCTGCAGCCCGAGTACTGCCCCGATGACTTGTGAGTCCAGCCCCAGCCTCGCGCTGCCCTGCCTCTCGTGCTGCTTCTGCATTGCATGTTGTATGTTGCTGAACTTCTTTGGCACTGTGCGTCACCAACCGTGCTAATCGGAGGTGCAGGAAACTATCCTTAAATAGCCTTCATTGTGCTGCTCTTCCTTAAGCTACCTTGCTTTGTCCTGTCTGGCCTTATAATGCCCTGCTTTCTACTGCCCTGTTTGGAATTGCCGTGCCTTATTTGTTGCCATCATACCCAACTAAATGCTTAGTTGTTCCCCTTTTTAAAATAAGTGCTTTACATAACACCAATGTTAAATAGTCCATAATTTTCTAAGGAAGGCCTCACTGTGCCTTAAATATATATTTTACAAAGGTCCTGCATTCGGACATTTGGGCAATTGCATATTTAATATATTTTTTTTTATGTGAGAGAAAAACATTGCCTGGATAATTCCAACGCACGTACGGAGATGACGCTGACAATTATCTTTGTCTCTCTCCCCGTCTGTGCCGTTAGGTATCAACTGATGCTGGAGTGCTGGAGCCACAAGCCAGAGATGCGGCCCACGTTCACGTCGCTCATCTCCGAGCTGACTTCCACGCTCGATGCGCTCGAAGGAGACCACTACATCAACCTCAACGTCACCTACATCAACCTGGACGCGCCGTACGCCTACCGCAGCGCTCTGCCGGCCCTCGACTCTCCCCGGGAGCTCTACAACACGCCGAGCGTTCCTCCCTGTCCGCCCGATGACAAGGACAGTGCTGCTGTGAATGGCAGCACTGCTGTGGCGGATATTACAGGGGATCGGCCGAACTCGGTTGTCTCCTAAAGCATGGACTGGAAGAGCCGTAATGTCGCTCGGTACAGGGCCCAGCTCTCAAGAGGGACCTCGTCAGCAGCAACAGCAGTAGCAACGAGAGTTTTCCAAAGCTGGCCACGATGAACCGAAAGCCTGCGCATATGCTTAACCTAGTGAGTTGTCTAACCACGACCCAATTTCTGCCAATAGCGGACAGATGCCTCGAGTGCCCATTCTGAGCTCTGCAAAGACACTCGGATAGCTGCCTGTGAATCCATGGTGTGTGAAAGAGTGAAATCTAACTCATTTGGTACGGGTTGGAGGCCCTGTGTTAGGGTGGAGATGCCTGAACAATTGTCGCAACCGCACAAGATGCAGTGAGTGGCGACGGTGGTGACAAGAGACTGATGTCAGTAGAGGCCACACTCGCTGTCCTCGGACTAGAGAGGAGGGCCGCAGCACCTTTGTACTCATGACGGCCAGCTCAGCCTTTGGCTTGACACGATGTTTGAGCAGCGGAGGCCCTCAGGAACCACATTTTAGTTTTCCTCGTGACAAAAAATCGACACTGAGAAGTCTGACGTCGCCGAGCTGCACGGCCGGACTGAGGACCGTGAACCAAAGTTCAGCAAGAAGAGACGGAGATGGTCACTTCGTGTTTAGAGACTGACAACTGTGGTGTGTGTGATTATTTGTCAACTGAATATGATAAGTTAATTTACAGGGTAATTCGATTCTATAACGTGTTATCCCCCTTGAGCGGAGCAGAGTAATGTTTTATTGAATGTTAATATTCCAGTGGTAACTGTATTCGTGTATTTTTCACTGATGTAGTGAATTATATATATGATGTATATATGTTGGAGAATACAAAAAAACACATTTGCTGAATACTCTTTATAGCTTATGGGCGACGTAGCAATTTATTTCCATTCCAACTGCACTGATAACTATTGTTGATCTGGGAAGCAGGGCATGTGGTGTTAGATGAGCAAACATTAGTTTGTTTTTTGGTCTGGTGTCTGTTCTCTTCAAGCATTTTACTCAATAGCAATGCATATTTTATGTACCCACCCACGCCTCAATCTCAAGACTCAGGAGGGTCCTCCTGTCTTTGGAAGTTTGGGCCAATGCCATGTGCTTGGCACATGCGAGAAAGCCAGAGTGCCCAGGGAAACCCCATAACGTCGTAATAGCACTCAAAGCTCCACAGATAGATTCAATAATCCATTTGCGTGCCGCCGCTGCCTCCTGGCCACCTCGCAGCCCAAGCCTACAGCACCAGGTATTAACAGGCCTCTTCCATTCAAGTTCTAGCCAGGCTCAACTTTGCTTAGCTTCTAAGGTCTTGCTGCAAGTTGCCAAAAATTATTTGGATTGCTGAAAACATTGTTGAAACAACACAAGGCTGGGAGGAGGCTTTGCCGGATCATGGTGAGCTCACGTACACGAGACACTCACATGCAAAGGCAGTGACAGCTCTGCAGGAGGCTGTACATCACTGAGGATGCTACTCATCTATTTGTACAAAGTGTGAGCGTTATGCCCCCAAATGCATGGTGTTTTTGCAATGCAAACATTTTGATTTGCACAAAACATCTAATTTACCAAACATCCAAAGTCGGAACCCTCCAGGCATGATACTTGGTATGGATCTCCTGGTGCGATATTTATTATCGTTATAATCACAGCTCACAGAGTTTAAGAGTTTTGAAAGGATCGGGTGTGGACCAGAGAACTGGTGGTTAATGGTGGTTATTTCTGAAAGCGGTTCTCTTTTCAGACACGGTTCTGAATTTGATTTAAACTCGCAATGCATCACAAATTCTGCTCTGTGAGCATATGCTTTTGCCTTCCACAGAATTGGCTATGGGGGGGACCTCTATTATTTGATGATTACAATCATATAAAACCAATCTCCTCTTACCTCTTTCGCACATCTGTCGTGCCGGAGTTTTTTAATCTCCAGCGAGATCACTGCTGGATGTGAATGACATCTCTCATTCCGATCCAATAGAGGTATCAATTATACAACCACTAAGGAACACAGTATTATTTTCATTGGTCACAGTGATTGTGACGATAGGTGAACAAATTATATATTTTTGTAAGTGCAGTAATACAAACCACACAATTAAACACTGATGTTTGTGTTTTTTGTACATGAGGATTTTAACACAAATGATATATTAAATTCTGTTTAATATGAATATTAATCCAACAGTCTCACTGTATCTGTGAAGTACAACCAATTTGCACTGGAATTTAATTCTGTATGATATATATTGTTCCATATTGAAAAGATGATTGTATTTACTTACATGGTAGAGGGAGCACGCCAAAGTTCAAGTGAATCTCAGAAAGCATGTCGATACGACTGGTTTTATACTTTACTTAACGCTTATCGGGACTTATTTAATGAATTGTCTTCACTGTTAAATGTCGGGTATTCAGAAGTCCACAATGTACGGTCATGTTGACTCTGAAAGATTAAAAATCAATTCCTACACTCGCAGTACATGCGTCGCATTGTGCGTATTCTGTTTGTACACCTTGTAAGTATACAGGGGGCAGCGGTAGTGCAGTGGTGATACACCAACCACACTGCCAGAGTTAAACGGTTAGACACGTACGGTGCTAAAGAAGTTCAACATACGGCCCATTGACGTGTGAATAGTTCGTACTTATCCAAATGGAATACTTTAAATTCAACGTATGTTTTCCTTGGTAAATACTTAATGTGATTAAGGGATTTATTGTATAATTATAAAAAGCTGCTCACGGTAGAGGCTTTAACCAACGAGAACCACACGCAATCAAGTCAGGTGTTAATGAAGAAGATACATTAACTTCTTCTTGGTTCTTTCGGTAAAGTCACGTAGAAGGGAAATAATAAAATAATAAAAATTTAATATGAAATACAATTCTCACAAAATAAAACATAATAAAATACAATTATGTTTTATTTTTTTTATTTTATTATTTCCCTTCTACGTGACTTTACTGAAAGAACCAAGAAGATGAATCCCTGCAGTCACGAAAGCTTTAAATTGAAATACATTAACTTGCTTAGTAAGTATTCAATATGCAAGAGAAATATAAAGACCCTCGTCTGATAAATTCAAACCACTGATATAAACACTTATTGAAATTTACCTTTATGACACTTTGTTTAAGAGTACAGTTGATAAGTTATCAGTAACATTTTAAACCAAAAAAGCATTGTTACCATGAACTCACAATCAATGAAAACTAAACTGAGCTGTTCTCTCCATTGTCAGTCCTAAGCCAGTGGTTAAAATTCCACATTTTCATGGCAGGGTACAGTCTGTCCACACAGTACGTGAACCACCATAGACTTTCTAAAAAAAATGTGTCTGTTAAATATAAAACAGCAAAAACCCCACATCTTACAAACCTTTTCTATAGCTTTCTGCTGCTTGGTGCAGTAGCTAAAATGCATAAAATGTGTCCGAATTCAATTTAAAATACAAAATTTATTTTTACGTGCAATGACAGCAACATAAAATCCACCATGAAATTGTCACCAATTCCCACAAAACACTGACCATTGAAGACGGGCACATTGAGTTGGTCTAAATAATGCTGCGGTCTACAAATACAGTGGCAGCTCACCGTTTTATTCTAAACCGTCCATGTGTACGGAATTTTCATGAGTTCCTGTAAATGTGTACCGTGGGTGTTTTATAATTGAAACATGTCTCAGTCGAAAAATCACTGTTGACAGTTCTGCGATGTAATAGGTCTGGGCTGAAAGTTTACGCATTTTGCTGAAACGTAAAAATTCAGTATGCATTTCGGCCAAGTGGTTCGCAGCGTATCTTTATTTAATGTCCATTGGTGTAAATACCGTTCATTTACAAGTAATAGATTAAAATACAGCACAGATGAACATGCAGTAAACGATAAACGCGAAGCCCTGCAAATTGCTTACTGATGCCACTGCTGGCAAAAAGCTCTCCAGTACAGGGAGCTCTCGACGGCCACTCTAGAGATCATTTTTGACCACCTCTTCTAAACTGGCCAGACATCTTGAATGGAAATACATGCCCACATTTTACCCAACCGCACGTGACCTGCTGATTGACTAACTGCACACGGTACATGCAGCACGGAGTCGATATTTTTAGGTGTGCGGGGGCCTGACCTCCCAATTGAGTGGCTTACAGAAATAGAGCCATCTTGTAAGGCACATCCCCTGCAAGGCAGAGAGGTGGCTATAGGAGGCAGTTCAACAAGTAGGCTAGACTTGCTGTACTGCCTCCTTGTTTGTACACATGGGCTTTTCTCCTTCTTGCTTCCCACGTGCAAAAGCAGCATTTCCCATATACAATGACTACATTCCATGCCATGCTGCATGTACAGTATATAAACAATCTTAAATTCAGTGAGGCTTTCCTCTAAATAATCACCACGCAATTAAAAAATGACATCCAGGATTGGACTTTGCGCACTCATTACTGACTGGTCCTTTTGACTTTTTTTTTACTGCTGTTGAACTCGTGCGTCACCTTCGCTATCGTGACCCAACCGACATATGCTGGACCAATAATGTTTGCTCGGTGTGTAATGGCCTTGTGAGCCATAAGCCATTGCACTCAACCTCTAGTTCGCTGGTGCCAATCATTCCCCATGAAAGCGTTTGCCACCGCACCACTCTTTATAGCGAGACAATGCCAGCGATTGTGCACGCCACCGCAATTTGCTCTGCAGAGAGATCTGCACGGTGTTGAAGCAAATCTGGGGCTGTGTGAATGTCTTGACAATCAGGCATGCACTCATTCGGATGGTGAGCCGTGCACAATTAGTGGCCCTTGTAATGGACCGAAAGCCCTCCCTCGCCCCCCACTGCTCAAGTGTCCCTTGTGCTGGCAATTGTCGTTTCGTCGTTGTTTTGATATTGCATTTTGTCCCTGCAGAGAACGCACATAAATACAACACACTAGAGCGACGATAAATACATTCATAAATGCATGATGACACATCCTATAAACCAACTGGATTGTAATTGTTAGTGCCATGCTTTTTTATATTATATTCTCCAACGCCGATTTTAGATTCGTAAAATGATACTGAACTATATACTGCAATTAATGATTTTTTTTATTAATGAAACACCCCATCCTTGAGATTTTGACCCTAGGAAACAATTATAAAACCTCTCGCTGGAGGGGAGCCATTCTGTACAAAACCAAGGTCCGGATTTCCTGGATCTGGAGTTTCACATACATTTCAGAGGTTTGTTATAATTCGCTTCCATTCCTGGAAATCCAAACCAAATTTTCTGATAAGTGTAAACACCTCCCTGTAGACCGTGCATAGCAAGTTTGTCGATAACGCGAATTCCATCAAAATAGCACCAGCTTTGAATGATCCTGCTGTGACCCACTTTCATTTGTACAACACGTTTAAATGATGCATTCTCCCCAACTCAAAATGTTCGTACAATTATAATAATATCATCACAATCCAATGCACTGTGAATTCATTTATACGCATAGGCAGTGAAAAAATATACATACAAATGCATTTACTAATTACACGCAGAATATGGTTAACGCATGATTATTATTTTACAAACGCCACACAACCTTACGCTTTGGTGCAAGCATCGTTAGGACGATAAAACAAAGACCACGAGCCCCGTACATAATGGATTCACAATCGTCGTGTGTTACAGAGAAAACAAAAATCCCTTCTGCACAAACTTGGTGGTTGAGCCTCGGTGGTGACGTAGGAGGGGGAATTCGACAGCAGCAGAGGCGTTGCAGTCAGCCCAGTGGCTCGGTCCAGACAACAGATGTCCTCTCGCCAATAATCCCATCCAGCAGCCGGGGGTGAGTCATTTACTGATGATTTTGTTGTTGTATCACTGTTATTTTGCAACGAAAAATATTTCGATAATGATTATTTTGCTTTCCTGGTGATACTGATGTTGGTCAAGTGTTATTATGATTTCTTTAGCTTATTTACCTAAAATGTCCCCACCACGCTTATTGCATATCTATTTGTTTTCTACCTGACTGGCAATTTTAAATGATTGATATACGAGCATTATAAGTCTCGGTTTTAAAATATTGTGACACCACTGTAGGCCAATACTTCATTGAGCCGTAAATTTTAAAAAAAAGACTGTATTTGAAAATGTAAAGCTATTAAACGTGGAAAGGTGCTGCGTTGCAGGAGGAGCAAACCTTCCCGGTCATGTGGCTTCATTCTCACGATGGGGCAGTGGCTCCTGGTGTATATTAATGTGACCGGCAGTTTGCGTGAGATTGTTCTCTGTCGGGAATTCGATTACAAAATAGTGCACTGTTAGCAAACGCACCACATGACTAACAGCCATATTTGCCGGGTTTGCTGCGAAGGCTTTGGGCTCTTGCACGATTCGCCTGAGCCTATTTTACCCAAAGAAAACAATCCGTTTAATCCTCTGATTTGGCTGCTCTCATGAAGACCGGTCACCACGACTACTAATGCGTGCAGGGGCATTAAAATTTAACCCGTAAAAACAAAGTTTTTCACTATAAATCCTTTATATGCGTGGCATCGGTTTTATTTTATTATTCATTTCTGTTTTTCTTGAGTAAGAGTTTCATTTTTATCACATTTGTATTTTAAATTAAATATGAAAAAAAAATCCTAAAAAGTGGAAAATTTTGGAAAAATTTTTTCACGAAAATAAATTGTCACGCACAACGAGTCTGTGTGCAAAATGTCAGCTCGATTGGATCACGGGAAGTGGGTTAAAAAACGATCGAAAGATTTGCACGGTCGTAAGCGCGCAAGCAAGCAAGCAAGTGAACTTAATATAAAGGATTTAATAAAGCCCATCACGCGCTGTCCCTATTGAACTTGTGGTCGCAAAGCCACGGAAACCTCAGAGAAGGTAATATGAAGTCTGGTGCTGACATATGTTGCAAACGTATTGCAGTATTTTATACTGATACTATGGAGTTCGCGTTATAAGCTGGCATTGTATTAAGTTGCTTTTGACCTTTACGTATTATGTTGCTGCTTGTATGTCAGGTCTTGACTAATATAGGATTTTAATCTCAGCGTGCTCTCACGTGTTTTTAAATGAAGTATTTAAAATTTAATTACGTTAATTTATCATCATTAGCCAATCCGCTATAGGATTAAAGCCGCTACAAGCCGTGTTTGGTCGTGGGGGTTACTTGACCATACTTCACCACCCTGGTCAGTGCAGGTCGGTGAAGGAGTGAGCCAGGAACAGTACAGACATCACTCGTCACGAATGTTAGCCATGACCAGGAATCAAACTCTAGATTAACTGATTGAGTGCTGTTAACCACTGTGCCACAACTCCATTTGATCAAGTATCGGTGAATGTGTGTTGCCAAGTGATCTACACGGGAGCTCATTGCTATGCACCAAACGTCCTGGTTTCAGAAAGGCGGTTTAGCATTGCGGAGCCAAAAGTTTTAAAAAGCACGCAAACAAGATATAAGAAGCACACATTCTCTGTGCATATGCAATTAAATAAATGCATTATGGTCATTTTCTCTTTGATCACATTTGCACGTGCACTTCTTCAGGAACTGCCGATGGCTGTTGCATGTACATAGAGGCAGTGTGCTATTTAAACGCACCTACGATTAGCACGGTTGGCCATACGGACACGATTTTGCGTGTTTATGGGTTTCCGTCCTGCACTATTATTTTATTCTATGATGGGGTTTTCTCGAAATTTACAGATTCTATTAAATGTTGTGGCTTGCTGCTCAACTCATGATGGGGGCGTACCTCGATATACGCTTGGGTTGCATTCGTGAAAAACTGAACGTAGAGTGAAAAACTGTTTATCAATTTGCTAATAACGTCCCATTGTTTCACGTAAGATGCATTACACTGGAAAGTTTTTTTTGACCCAACACCTATGAAAATAACAATTTTTCAACAAAACTAAAGATGTGTTCATTCCTAAATATGGACAAAAATAACGAAACATGTAATTATAAAGAAAAAATATAATTGTTGTAGAAGGAATCCTCTACTTCCAGACGACGTATGTTACAGAGGTCTTCCATAATAGAGGTTTTTTGGGGTTAGATCGTGTAAATATATACATGTGTTGTTAAACCCGCCACCACCCGACACAGCCAACTATAGTAAGGGTTGTCACGTAAACAGACGGTGCCAATTCGTCACAAGTACAGTGCTCAGATTGTAAATGTACGTTCTGTTTACGTGACAACCCTCACTATTTGGCTGTGTCAGGGTGGTGGCGGGTTTAATGACACATTTATATATTTACGCGATCTATAAACCCAAAAAACCTCTTAAGGATGATATTGGTAACGAAAGCCTACGTGTTTTCCAGAGGTCTGTTTGTAAGTCGATCTGTTCGTAAGTCCAAATTTACTCCCTGTCGATTCCAAACATATTGTACGGCGTGTACACTAAACACGGGGAATGGTATTGATTCTAGATTTGAAGCTTTCGTGACTGCAAGGATTAATATTCTTAGGTTTTTTTCGGTAAAGTCACGTAGGTAAAAAGACGGAAGCTTGTGTTGCCTCCGAAACGTCGTGATTTAATTAATTTTTTATTTTACTTTTATTAATTTTAATTTTTTACCTAGGTGACTTTACGGGAAAAACCTAAGAATACAGGGAATGGCTTTAAAAGTTATATAATCTCCTGCAGATATAGATGCCACTGCTTATTCCCGTTCTGCAGATGTAGATGCCACCGCTGTTATTTATTGCCGGGGCGGTTGAACTTACGACTCTGTTCAGGCAACTGGACATACAGGACAGGTTTGTTCGTATCTCTGAATGTTCGTAAGTCGAATGTTCGTAAGCAGAGGAGTCCTCTGGACCGGGTTGAAGGCTTCGTGGGTAGTGGGCGGGGCTGATACGGGTATGGGCGGGGCCAGAAGCAGTAGGCGGCTATATAAGAGCGAGTGGGGCTGCCAGCTGACCACGTGGTCTGGGTTGAGCCTCCCAAAAGAATTGGCAGCTTTGTGTACTGACACATTGTGCAATATTTGCGAATAAGACCAAAATTGTCAAGGCAAGACAATGCAACCGAGTTCATTGTCACAGACCCAACATCCTTTTACTTGGTGATTACATCAAAGTGGCGCTTAAAAAAATGAAATATTAGTTTATCATTGCATGTACGCGTATAACCCTTGTTTGTCAACCCCCATGTCTTGCGGGATATGTCGACCATACTTCACTACGTTAGTCAATGCGGGGAAGTGCACAAGACGAGCCAATTCAATGGTTAAACCGGTCTCTTGCGCCTTATTATCACGCATCGAAGCAATAACATCCTGGATGCAATAACATCCAGGCTCAAACTACTTAAGCTTCACCGCAGCCTTTTTTTTACCACGCCTCCCCTCCCCTCACGACTGGACCGTATTGTCAAAGAGCTTTACAGCTCATCGGATTCCTCCACTATAAATACAGCACTCTGGTTCTGTACGCGGGTTGGCTAAACAAGTTACCCCACGTGACTGGGTAAGGCCCACCACTCCCCCACGTGGTCACGCCCCACGCCCCCCTCCCCACGTGGTCCCGCCCCACGCCCCCCCCCTCCCCACGTGGTCACGCCCCCCTCACCACGTGGTCCCGCCCCCCTCCCCACGTGGTCCCGCCCCACGCCCCCCCCTCACCACGTGGTCCCGCCCCCCCCCTCCCCACGTGGTCCCGCCCCCCTCCCCACGTGGTCCCGCCCCCCTCCCCACGCGGTCCCGCCCCCCTCCCCACGTGGTCCCGCCCCCCCCCTCCCCACGTGGTCCCGCCCCCCTCCCCACGCGGTCCCGCCCCCCTCCCCACGCGGTCCCGCCCCCCTCCCCACGTGGTCCCGCCCCCCTCCCCACGTGGTCCCGCCCCCCTCCCCACGTGGTCCCGCCCCCCTCCCCACGTGGTCCCCGCCCCCCCCTCCCCACGTGGTCCCGCCCCCCCCTCCCCACGCGGTCCCGCCCCCCTCCCCACGCGGTCCCGCCCCCCCCTCCCCACGTGGTCCCGCCCCCCCCCTCCCCACGTGGTCCCGCCCCCCTCCCCACGCGGTCCCGCCCCCCCCCTTCCCACGTGGTCCCGCCCCGCGCATGCGCCGTGCGTCTCGCGCTGGGCGCTCTGCACGTGGACGCCATCTTGTCTTTGTCCCTCCCCCGCCGGCCGCGCGCGTCGCTTTCCAGGTGCGAGGAGGAGGATTAGGCGCCGGCCGCGTCCCGCCACCCGCCACGCCGCGAGCCCCTTTCGTTTCCCTTTTGCCGCCTCGCCACGCGCGCTCCTCTATCCGCAGCCGCCAAACGCGCACGCGAGCCTCCAGTGCCGCTAACCACTCCTCCTCCATCATCGCCACCAAGTGCCCCAAGCCGCACTGCCAACGGCGCCGCGCTCGCGGTTATTTTTTTTAATTCCAACAACAATAAGACTTGTCGCTTCGCCGCGCCGTGCGAGCGGTGTGATCCGTCGGCGGTGGTGTTTTATAAGTGCTGATATTTTGGCGCTTTGGTTATATGAAGGTTAACTTCTCGCGTGCGGTCACAACCGTTTAGATGTCAAGTTCCCCACCGGCGAAGAAGCGCTGTGTCTCTGCCGACAAAACGGGTTCCTACTGCACGGCGAGCAAAGCGGCCAAGACCTCTCTGCCAAAGGACGCGGTGAGTCGCAATCTTCGCCACTCCGTTACCCTCAAAGTCACATTTTATTTGCTTTTACAAAAGCGGCGCAATGACTGCGCATCGGGGCCTAGCTAGTTTAATACCAGGCCTTGCTTTGCATTTCATAGAGCGGATAAGTACGAGCGGCTCGGCTTTTTGCGATGTCATTGGCTGGCGGGTCTGACGTCATTGCTCGGTGTCCAATGGGAATGACGAGCCGGGTGTCAGGGCAGACTTGCTCAGCCAATGGGACGCGCGGCTTGCTTATCCGGTGTGGGAAGTTGTAGCTGTTGTAATTCGCAAGTAACGATTTTTTTTGTTCTCTCGCGGTTCTCCGTGCGGCGTTTTTTGTTGTTTCGCGTCGTTTTCCGAGTGACCGCATTCGCGGCGTTTTAAACTACGGCGACGTGGTCAAGTCACCCCCGGTAAGGTTTGAGAATGTGTCAACGTTTTAGCGACGATGCGGTGACGAGGGAGGCGTTTGGCCGTCGTCGTCTCGCACACGCGAGAATGTTCGCCCGGCGAACTCCCCACGTAGACGAGAGGTGGTTTGGTGGATCACGCGAATGTGACGAAACCCTCCTTACCCTGGGCGAGTACTCAACGAGTCGTTTGAACATTGACATTACTGGTGGCGGGTTTAACCACACTTTATATATTTACGCGGTCTAACCCACAAAAACTTGTTTTATGGATGAAATTGGTCGCGGAAGCCTACGTGTTAAATTAACATTACTGCTGTTTCATTACTGTATTGACTTTACCATTGTCTTTGTATTTAAATAATCCGTATTTTGTAAAAAAAAATACATGAGCCTTCATAATGCGTTGCTTTAAAGACCTGTTTTGACATATGGCAGCGCTATCTTTACGCTTAATTACACAATTCTGTAATGTGAAAGCTTAATAGCAACTTGGTATTTTATTTAATACATACACCGTGATAAGGTAATATTTGTATTTTAATGTTAATCGACACTTAGATGTTTCAGAATGTGACGCGTTAGTGTGTCGGTAATTGTGCCAAGTGTCATTGAGTTGGGCGGATAGTGCGTCATGTGGAGTCGTAATAGTGCTCTGAGCGTTGTGAATACAGCCTCCGTTCATCACCGATCCATAACCTATTGATCACTCATCCTATTTACCACTCATTCACCGCGAGCATTAAACGCTGGGTGATTCACAAGCGTAGCCTTTGAACGTAGTCGTGTTCGGTCAAGCAGTGTTGAAAAGCCGCCACTGCTGCCCCCATACACACACACTGTTGTGGCGTGTTACCACGGTTCAAATTAAATACTAACGAAAAGGTACCAAGCAATCCATGCAGTTGTACAGATTATACATAATTACATATACTAACAATGTTTTTGATTAAACATCTAGAAATTACTTTTACATACCAGTTACGTTTATATATGTTTAGTGTATATCATTTTACAGTAATTAGGTCAACGTGTAAACACATACAATTAATTTAGTATTTTTCTCATGTAACGTTTCACATTAAGGTTTCTATTAAAAAAACACACCGAAATCCATTTTATGTTAAATTAGACTTCTCTTTTGAGTTGTGCAGTTATATTTTGTGCTCAACTAAAACCTGGATTTGAGAAGTTGAAGTTTTAACCATAGGTGCATTGTTATCTTACACCTCTTGGTGATACTATTATTGGCTGTAAAAAAAAATCCCGGACCTTGGGTATTTTCACTGATAACACATTTCCGATTCAGTTGTAAGCTGTTTTGTGCAGAAAAAACCCGATGAAAATCAGTTTTAACAGCAGGAGAAACCAGTCTTTAAAAAATCTATTATTTATCATTTCATACTGTAAAGGAAGAGTTTTTCACCAGGAGTATTCAAGCTTACACGTCTCTTAATGTGTTTTGAGCATTCCTTTCACTTCCCCTTCAAAGATATAAATATAGCCAGGTTGGGAAAGTAGACCAGCTACGATCCAGAGGGTCTCTAGAGCTCCTCCTTGTTAAAAACTCCTCGAATTGAATGCGGAGGCCAACAGTGACTTCAGCATGCAATTAGAGGGCTGCACCTTTACGTTTTACACGTTGGTCTCGGTAGACTTCATTACAACCAACATGTGCAAGTTCTGCATGGAAATCGTCCCCCCTGGGGGCTTGGTAACCTAAGCAGCAGCGCTGAAACCCCATGGGCGTTCACTGCGTAAAATGCACAATAAACGTTGCATGCTTGTGTCGTAACTACAGCTGTATACATATTCCTACAATGACGCGACTCTATCCTGCAGTTTAGTCATACTATATTTTTAGCGTATGTGTTCATGGTTTATATTTATATAGAATGTGTATATAGAGGGGTGAAAATTGAATTGTGAACATTTTCTTCGAGGTTGGAGATACTGGAAGTATTGTTTCAGCTCTTGTAAGCAAGCTGAAGCACAAAGGTAATTGGTTATGTGATATAATTGATTTAATTATGCATGTTTTGCTTAAGTTAACGTCAATACTTAGATGTGGCCTTTCGACTTAAATGCATCACTTGTTGTTTTCTTGGCCACTAACTTTGGGAGAGACGGTTGTCGCAATCATGAATGTGAATTCTTCTAAAGTGCCGCAGTTTGACAACGCAGACTGAAAGAATGAGGAAACGTTTCCATCGAGAAGAAGTCGAAGAAAGCTTCCTTGAAAAGAGTTTCAATTTGGATGCGTTGAACTGTGTTGACACTCGTTTATTGCAGGACATGGCCAAGAATGGAGGCAATGATGTTGACATCGATGAGGGCCTGTACTCAAGGCAGCTGTAAGTACTGCACTCGGTACTTTTCTGTTTTGTGAGCACCTTTTTCCAAAACATGTTTTGGAATCAGCTGACAACAGCTCGGCCAGGCAGCCTCAATGCATTTTTCAAATGTGTAAACTTTGAAGGAATCGCTGTGGCTATTGGTGAAATAGTTATATTTTGAGTCCTAGAACCATTGTAAAGAGATGCCAGGAAAAAAATTAACTAAAATAATGCGGGGGGTGTATTATATTTAGTGAATGAAGGTTTAAACAATTGCTGTACTGGCCAAATGTAATCGGCATTCTTGCTTTGAAAGTACAGTAGTGTCTTCATCATATTCGGAGTAAATATCTCATTATAGCGATATGTGTGCTTGGCTATATTTAATGTACTCTACAGCTGTGACTGCCTTGTGCATGTAATTTATGATATGGTTTTCATTCAATGAATCATACTTAATTTTGAGCCTGTGTATTTAATGGTGGTTGAATGCCATACACCATGTTTTAATACCTCTCAGAGGTTTAACAAATAATACCGAAACGCACATGTTCATGAAATTCAAAGCTTAGATAATGCATTTTAAATTCCTAAGGATGCAATTTGCCTTGTAAAGGCATCTTAATTCCAAAATGAGATATTTCACTTCTCTGTAACATTGTACTGTAACCTCGTTTGTTATAAGCTATTGTTTAGTGTTGCTGCCCAATTTATACAGTTTGGTTGACATAAGCCATGAAGTTAAAGGTATATTGTAGACAGAAATGTAGTAAAACTGTTGGCAACATGACTTTCACCTTTTGCCTCTGTTAAGAAAATCTTTAGTCACTGTTGTATCTTGGTCTTCAAATTTTCCTCAAATCGGTGGCATTCCTTGGTGGGAGAACAGACTAATGTATTGCATGCCATAAGAAACGGTTGACCGATAAAATGGGCTGATTTTAAAGATGAATGGCTAAAGTGTTGGTGATGGTTAGAACATTCACATCATCATTGCAGGAGTTCAGATTTAATTAAAAGCAAGTTCTGCTGTTTACTGTCTTCGGGCTGGATGTTTTTTAGAGCATGGCTAATATATTTGATACCACTCTGTTCTATGAGACAGCTGCAGCTAGCTTTTGAAAATATGGTAAATTTAAGCTTTATACAGCGTCAATGTGCAGTCGTCCTTGAAAGCTTTGCAGTAGACAGGTATTGACTTATCTGTTAAAATGAATCCCTTAGCTCACAATAATGCACCAGATCATGCGTGTCAAAGACTTATAATTTTTTTGTTTTATCTTCACCTCGCACGGACCAGCGTGGTGAGGTATGGTTAAATAACTGGCTCTAATCCAAAAATGGATTGACAAAAGGACTACGTGTTTCATTACATTGGTCCATGTCATCCGTGTACCCTGCCGAGGTGCTACGTTCACTGCAGTGTTACAAACATAATTGACTCTTGAATTAGTTGGATGGGGTGATCCATGTATTTTCTTTATTTTTCCCTACTGATTTATCATGCCCCTATCACTCTCTATCAGGCGATGTAATACTTTGAAAACGACGTCTCCATTTTTTACAGATGAATGTTGAGAGATTGAATAAGTATTTGGAAATTGTGGGAGAAAGAGGCTTTGAAATACAATGTTTTTATAATACTGTAATTCTTGTTTTATAAATTGATCACCCTTTTATCAACTGATTAGATTCATGGAATACCATTATAAATGTGATGTATGACTACAGATGAGAATCAAGGATTGCCTCCCTGAAAATGTACTTTAATGATCAGATGGTTCAGAACTGCCACTTTCTGCAAATGCTAGAGAACTGCAAATACACATTTGAAAATGTGTAGCTAAAATCCTAGTTGGGCTCATCAGTCCTTAATTTCCAATAAAACGATAAACATTTGTGGGAATGGGAATGTTAAATATTCAAGCAGCTAGGCCGCCAACATAAATGAGCACTGCCAATGATAGTTTTATCAGAACAACCCTTTCACTTTTCCTCCGACTGAGAATTATGTGGAAATGATCAACTTTAATTAGCCAAACCCCGCATGCCAATTTGAAACATTGCACGAGTACTCGAAATGTAATCGCTTGGCTTGCTGGCTTGGTTTAATACGTACCATCGTTTCGTACGGCGAAGACACGGTGCATTGTGGTTTTTAACACTTGGCACCGCTCGCGCCAGGTACGTGCTCGGCCACGAGGCAATGAAGCGCATGCAGCGCTCGGATGTGCTCGTGTCGGGCATGCGGGGGCTGGGCGTGGAGATCGCCAAGAACGTCATCCTGGGTGGCGTCAAGTCCGTCTCAGTCCATGACCAGGGGAACGCCGAGTACCTGGACCTCTCCTCCCAGGTGAGTTCCTCACAGAGATAAATAAGTACCTTAGTTGTTCCTTCTACATGTGAGTACCTGGACCTCTCCTCCCAGGTGAGTTCCTCACAGAGATAAATAAGTACCTTAGTTGTTCCTTCTACATGTGAGTACCTGGACCTCTCCTCCCAGGTGAGTTCCTCACAGAGATAAATAAGTACCTTAGTTGTTCCTTCTACATGTGAGTACCTGGACCTCTCCTCCCAGGTGAGTTCCTCACAGAGATAAATAAGTACCTTAGTTGTTCCTTCTACATGTACCTGACCTCTCCTCCCAGGTGAGTTCCTCACAGAGATAAATAAGTACCTTAGTTGTTCCTTCTACATGTGAGTACCTGGACCTCTACTCCCAGGTGAGTTCCTCACAGAGATAAATAAGTACCTTAGTTGTTCCTTCTACATGTGAGTACCTGGACCTCTCCTCCCAGGTGAGTTCCTCAGAGATAAATAAGTACCTTAGTTGTTCCTTCTACATGTGAGTACCTGGACCTCTCCTCCCAGGTGAGTTCCTCACAGAGATAAATAAGTACCTTAGTTGTTCCTTCTACATGTGAGTACCTGGACCTCTCCTCCCAGGTGAGTTCCTCACAGAGATAAATAAGTACCTTAGTTGTTCCTTCTACATGTGAGTACCTGGACCTCTCCTCCCAGGTGAGTTCCTCACAGAGATAAATAAGTACCTTAGTTGTTCCTTCTACATGTGAGTACCTGGACCTCTCCTCCCAGGTGAGTTCCTCACAGAGATAAATAAGTACCTTAGTTGTTCCTTCTACATGAGTACCTGGACCTCTCCTCCCAGTGAGTTCCTCACAGAGATAAATAAGTACCTTAGTTGTTCCTTCTACATGTGAGTACCTGGACCTCTCCTCCCAGGTGAGTTCCTCACAGAGATAAATAAGTACCTTAGTTGTTCCTTCTACATGTGAGTACCTGGACCTCTCCTCCCAGGTGAGTTCCTCACAGAGATAAATAAGTACCTTAGTTGTTCCTTCTACATGTGAGTACCTGGACCTCTCCTCCCAGGTGAGTTCCTCACAGAGATAAATAAGTACCTTAGTTGTTCCTTCTACATGTGAGTACCTGGACCTCTACTCCCAGGTTAGCTTCTCAAACTTGTCAATGACCACCTGGTTATCTGCCAGGCGAGCTCCTTATGTAGGTAAATTAATCACCCGTCTTTTCTACCCATGTAACAAATTACTGCTGTTAAGTATTCTAGTCTTCCCAGTTTCCTCATGCACACGTTACTTGGCACGCGGACTTTTCTCAGCTGTGTCTTGCATGTGCTGAAAGCTTTTAGTTCAACATTTCTTCCATTGTATTGTAAAAAAGCTAACATTGCTTTTTCCTGTGTGACCACCCGTGCTTTGCCAACCACCTCGAATCTGTGCGTCTCAGTTCTATCTGCCGGAGAAGGACCTGGGGAAGAACCGGGCCGAGGTGTGCCAGCCCCAACTCTCTGAGCTCAACACCTACGTGCACGTGTCGGCGTACACGGGCGAACTCACCGAAGAGTACCTCTCCAAGTTCCTGGTGAGCGACACCTCATCGGGAGGCTTGGCTCGCCGTGGAACCTCGCGCGCGGGCACTCAACGACGGCCGCTTTCTGTTCAGGCGCCGAGAGCGTGTTACAGTTGCTGGTACAGTGTTTACCTGTACCAGCAACTGTAATGCGCGTTGAGGCCACGGAAAGAGGGAGAGGTTACGCCACACTGTGTGGTGGTGGCTCGCCTTTCATGGAACCCTTGGGAAGCATGGCTGGTGTATCGTCAACAACAATTTAGCTCAATTGGAGATTTTTGTCAGGGACACAACTGGAAAACATGGAATGACTGGCAGTCATTCACGGTGAACCGGAATAAAAAACGATGTTGGAGGAGGCAGACGGGCGATCTGGCGAGATTTTGGAAAAGAGAATATGATGAAAAGCAATTCAACATTGTGCCTGAATAGTAATGTGTTTAACAATTCTATTTGGATAGTTTTGACCTGAATCGGAGACCACGACATTGGTAATGAAATTTGAATAAATTCTGAGAAGTGCATGCTTGAACTTGCACCGAGAGACCGGAAGTACCCATTACACAAGGTGGTGTGTCATGCGGATTGAATTTAGTGGCGATTGACTCTCAACCCACCGTGCTACCATTTGGCCGGTAGGCGTTAGTTATTTATAGTTACAGATGTTTAAATCACAGGTCATTGCGCACACCGCAGTGTTGTGGGTTAATGCTCGGGCACCACCTGCGTCCTCCCATCCTCATTGGGTCCATCTGTGATTTGTTTCAGCTGCATGCCACTATTTTAAGCATTCCTCCCAACTATTTTTGTAACAGGTGGCTGCCTGCTTGCCTTCATTTGCTCATTGCATCTTTAATTGAGCAGCAGTACACTCACAAGGATTGTTTTAATGTATGTACGTTGAACTTCTTTCGCGCACCGTATGTAGCCAATTGTGCTAATCGGAGGTACATAATAATCTTTATTGAACCTCAGGCCTCCTTTAGAAAGGATATTTTTTTGCCTCAAACGCTCACTTGATTGCCCATGAAGGTAATTTAATTATTTCACCAAAACACATTCCTAATGGGTTTTCCCCTAGGTTGTGGTGCTGACCAACTCCACCTTGGAGGAATGCATTCGCGTCGGCGACTTGTGTCACTCCAAAGGGATCAAGTTCATCGCAGCAGACACCAGGGGCTTATTTGGGTGAGTACTCTCGCATGTCTTTCTGCTTGACATGAATGGTCTTCACCTGAGGACGGCTACTTGCGTTGTGGCCGAAACGTCGTGAAAATTATTTTATTATGTTTTATTTTTATTATTTTATTACTTCCCTTCTACGTGACTTTACCGAAAGAACCAAGAAGATGAATCCCTGCAGTCACGAAAGCTTTAAATCGAAAAATGAATGTGTGACATTCAGTTGGCGTTGGCACATTTCACACGAGCACGGTCGGTCTGCAATAAAGTTGTTAATAAATGTTAATTGTGTGCTATACATTTCATGTAAGGAAATTACTACCCGTGGTCAAATGAATTTCATTACTGCTTTGACTGCTGCACTTTCATTTATTAGATTTCTTTTTTATCTCACTTATATGCCAATTCTGCTGTAACCGTATTGTCTTCAGATGAATACACTTTCATTCTTAACTTTAGAAGTAAAGCTTTATTGCACAATATCACCTTTTTTGCAAATATATGTTTACGTAATTTAAGTCTTAATCCACTGAATTTTATTTATATTATGTAAACCGTTCTTGATACTTTTTTGACTTATTTTATATATCTCAATAATGTGAGCCTGTGCTTTTTCTGTCCAGTGCTCATTAAAATGTGCAAGTGCTTATACTTGCTATTAATCAATGCTTTCAAAAAATGTGCATACTCGCATGGTTACTAATGTTTGTAACCTATTATTACTTGTTCTATCTATAATGTTTACTAATGCTACTTTTAATACGAACTATTTATATGCATATGACTACAATAGTGCTTTCTATAATTTGCTATAATGCTTGATGTTGCTTACTAATAATAATGTTTGTGTGTTATTAAAGTGTGTATAGCACTTACCAATACTGGGGCTAAAGTGTTTTTGGTGCCTACTCAACCGTTATTACATGCATTGTGCTAACTCGTGTTTACTCTCGCGTGCTTCCTACTCATTGCATTTAGCTAGAGTACATAGCCGACTAGGCTAAACCGTTTGTTTGCAACCATGCGGCCATTCGATTGATTTATTATAACGCAAAGCACGTCGGCGTCTCTCGTTGAATTGATGCGAGGGGCCCTTCCGGGCGCGTGCAGATGCCAGTTTTGTGTGCACATTCAGCCATGTTTAACAGCGGTGCCATGTTTCATCCAATCGTGTGCATTGCATCGAGATGTACATGAAGGTTGCGTTAGGTCACGCAGGTGGTGTGTCATGCCCTGCAAACAAAGCCATTCCCGTTTTTTTATTTTGATTAATGTTGATGCTCGCCTCTAGAGTGTGTACTTCAGTGGCGTTAATGGGTAACTGTAAACTGTCCCAATAGACCTACTGTATCACTTCAGCAACACCTTTGTTAATACGAGAGGGGCACACCTTTAATGCACTGCAAAGATGGTTATTGGTCAGTCGAACTAAAATGTTGAATTCTCAGAGCTGGAATAAACCAAATTAAAGTAAAACAAATTCAGTTGACTTAATTGTTTTTTAGTGCAGTCATTGTTGGCCAGGAGACTGTCACTATTTTAGCAATTGGTGACTGCTTTGATTAAAACCCAGAATCTCCACAATGGTTATCTCTGTGCCCTGACCACTCAGCCACCGTACTATCTCAAGCAAAATTGTTTGCAGCACATTTGTATTTTTGTGAATGAACGAGTAGATTAACGTAATGATAACGACACCTTAACCTGTCATGTGTGCGTGTGTGTTATTGTTATTTGACAGACAACTCTTCTGTGATTTTGGTGACGAGTTCACGGTGATGGATTCTACTGGAGAACAACCCGTCAGCGCTATGATCTCTGCAGTTACAAAGGTAGTGATTGAATGTGTTGTCTACACTCGCACTTCAGCAGCTGTTACTCTGGCACTGCTAAGATGCAGTAAGTGAGACAAACATTAGATGCAGCTGGCAGTAATTAATCATTGGTTGACTGTAATGCCACTTCTGCACTTTTCGTGAAACTTTCCATAGAAATACAGGAACACTAATGTTACAACCCAACAGAGCATGCATGTTCACATATGTTTATTACAGCCATCCATAATATTATAAAGCTGTTTACATTTGAAATTAAAACAAATTTCTTAGCGGTTGCTCACTTATGAGATGTAAAACACAGCAGTGATTGTGCCTTGGTCTTTTATACAGAAGAGACATTTCTTACAAACCGTGAAGTCTCTGTAAACAGAGTAATTGGCACAACCTAAATGTCATGGCAGCGAAGCGAATGGAGAGGAGGATTGCGTGCGTGTCCGTGTCCACGCTTGTGCGATTTAAGCTTGATGGTGTAGTGGCAGGCAGTTTCCCCAGTGATTTCTTGGCGACCAGACATGAAATAAACCACTCATCCAATCAGGATCAATCCATGTCTCACTCCAATTGCAGAGCCAATCAGCATTCACTTGATTGCTGTTTACCACTAGAATGTAGACAAGGGCAGCATAGTGATAGATTGTCTTCCATTTTCAACGGACAAATCGAGTGGTGCAGTCATTCGCGTGAATGAGAAGTGAGATTTTGAACGCTGGATTGAATACAAACTGGCGGGCATTTGTAAAGAACAACGTGTGGGTGCTTGGGGGACCAGGCTTTGTGTTTGGCGTTAGTGCAACATTGAGGCCATTAGCTTTCAAATAATGGAGGCATGATGGAGCGACCTGGTGAATGATTAATCTGGAGTTGCGTTTTCTGTGTGTGCCTGGGTGTGGTGTTTTTGCGAGTCATTTAGTGTTGCATTTTTTGCGATCACTTGACCTTTTCTCGTGTCGTATTCAGTGTTTTTTGAGCAGGTGCATCGATTTTTGTTGATGCTGTATAAATGAAAGCATTAAAATGTGAACTCATTTGTGACGGTAGACACGAGCACATTAAAATGTAATTTTCTCCAATGTATTGAAGCATAGCGTGAACGTTTACAATACCCTTGCAGTGTCAGCACTGGTATTATTTTTTTACCACATCATCATTATTTGAGCTGTGAATTTGGCATACATAGGCATCAAGGGCAGTAAAGTGATTGTGCATACACATTGCAACAAGCATTTCCCATGCCCAACATGTTCAAGCTATTCCAGATTTAGTTTTCATATCTGGGCTCGCAGATGCGTATTGTTTGTCAAATACCCATGTTGAACACACACAATTGGCTATAACTCTTTTTGGATGTACTTTTTGAAATTCACACACTGATGTTTGTGGCGACGATTCGCTGCCAGTGTTTACAGAGCATCAAGTGATTGAATCCTGATGGCTTTAACCAGTTAATTTTCCAAGAATTACATGAAAGGCGCATTATCCAATTACTTTGAAATTAAATAAATCACATTTGTGCAGTTAATCATTTGTCAAAGCACAATGTGTCAAAATTGGTCAACATAAGTTCACATTTATACGTTTGTAGCGACTTTCTGTGATTAAACATTTGGTGAAAATATGCTTAACTTCTATTTGCTTCTGTATAAAAGTATATTTGCTCAAATACTGAGCATTTTATCTTGAAAATCGGTGAAAAAGGCATTTGATTGACTTAGGCATGATACGTGACTACTATTAGGAAGCCACTGGAGCTATACACTTTTAAGTCTAGATTGAAAACGAATTTCTTTCTAACTGCTTTTTGTGTTTAGTTGGTTCTTACACCGCACCTCCAATTAGCATGGTTGGTTATGTACCGTATGAAAGAAGTTCAAAAACATACATTAAGATCTGATAGCTCTTGGGGAAAAGTAATTGGTTTTGGTGATGAAGACAGTGGTGATGGATTTTTTTTGCAGGATGCCGTTGGAGTTGTTACGTGTCTCGATGAAACCCGGCATGGATTTGAGAGTGGGGACCACGTCATCTTCACTGAAATCCAGGGGATGACGGAGCTCAATAACTGCAAACCTCGGGAGATCAAAGTTCTTGGTGAGACAATCGTTTGATTAAGAGATTGGCCGACACAATCGCGGCTTGCAGTTTCTGTGCCGAGCCCAATTCATACGTGGTTGAGTTGATGTATAGGCCACTTAAAACTCCACTGTAATATATTAAGCCCCAGGCCAGCCACACAAGGCATTCCCAATAAATCTTACAAAATCCTATCAATGTTTATGTATATCTTGTAATTTTAATTGACACTGGTTGCCAGGTTAAATTGTATCATGCCATTACAGATGGTATTGATGGTTTTCCCAGTGTAACTTTTTGTTGATGAAATGTAATCCAATGGCAGGTTTTCTAACTTCATTTTACATTTAACATACAATTTACTATTTGTTCCAAAATGGTAAAAAATAAAAATTTTAGGTAGTAAGTAAAAAATTCTAAAAAAGAAATTTCAATCTTGTAAATAGCTACACCGATATTCAGCTGGAATATCCCAATGATTGTCACACATTTGCAACAGAACGAAACAATTACTCTCGTTGTTGGAGGAAGCCATGTGCTGAACCTTTTGGTAAACTTTTATAAGTACGGTACCATAAAATTCACAGCCTTGCACATCTTGTCTTGATTCACATCACAAAAACATTGTCAGCCGTCTATATTACACCATGCAGTCGCTAACACAACAACACGAGTGCCTTCCCTCAAGTTCTGCTTTTGGTAATACAAATTCCGTAGGGGCAAAGACTCAAGTTTGTATAGATTTCCCAACTGAAACTGCTGCTGCTTTCGGTGTGTGTCGTGTAGGTGGGAGAAGTAGTGGCATCATGGGTTGCACACTGCGCCTCTAATATGGCTACTCGGTCTGTTTGCAGAAATACATGTTCGTGGCAATATTTCATCCTACCTAACCTGAGCCTCTTCAAAGTGGACTAGGCCTATGAGTGGCTGTGGGAGTGTCATATTCTTACCATGAGGAAGTAAAAGTTGTGCTGACCACACCTGTCCCTCATGTCCTATGCAGCCTTTCATTGGTATGCATAAACAACCATATGGTTTTGTCGTGTAAATGGATGGGTTTGTGTCTTTCAGGCCCATACACATTCAGCATCGGGGACACGAGCGGCTTCTCAGACTACAAACGTGGTGGTATTGCCGCACAGGTCAAAATGCCCAAGAAGATCAGCTTTGTGAGTGCTCATTTATCAATTCGCTTACAGTGATATTGCTAATCCAGGATTAATTATTGAATGCTATTCATGCACGTGGGACTGTTGTGAGGCTGAGCTGAGGCTCCAGATTGTTTGATGTGAACATTGTTTTAAGTAACATGTTAGCCTTGTTTCCTGCCACAGTGTAATATATTTTCTGTGTAATCACATGCATAATAGCGCGTGTTTTTCCTCGAAGCCCATCCATATCATCAGGTTCAAAACGATGAACTCCCTGACATTTATATTCTGGAATCGCATAATCAATCGGAGTTAATTTTAAGAATTATAACTATTTCATGAGGCTGTTGATCATGGCAATGAATTATACGAAGTAAACTCTGTTTCGGTTGCAAGAAAAAAATATTCTTAATAAAAATGCTATCTCCACATCTGCCTATGATATTCTCTTGCCACCGTTTTGTCATATGTTTGATTTGAGAGGTGATTCTGGGCTTAATGTGGTACTTTTTTCTTTGCAATGTCTCATGGGTATTTGTCATTTTCTGATTTTCGTCCACTGACATGACTTCTGCAGTCTTCTTTTAGTAGCTCTCTTGCACTGACTTTGTTTTGGTCTCGTCTGCACTGAATGTTTTTTTACTGCAATCATACTTGGGTGTTAGTCACATTATCCCATCATATGCCATACCACTCTGAAGTAGTTGCTCGCTTAATAGCACCTGTCTAAAGTCTTCATGACATGAAGTATATTTCCGTGCATTTTATTTATACTTGTTTTTTTTTTATCTACCCACATTAGAAAACGTTCAGCAAGGCATTGGCGGAACCTGATATGGTCGTGACAGACTTTGCAAAATTTGAACGTCCGGGTCAACTCCACCTCGCCTTCCAGGCCCTGCATGACTTTGTCAAAAAGCACAAACGCCTGCCCAAACCACGCAACCAGGTGAGTGAGATGTTAGATGGACTTAGACTCAGCTCTGCCATGCTTACCATTAGTCAAGCTCACTTGTCTGCTCAACAATCTTTCTGTGCAGTGTTTTAGGTAGCAGAATACTGTTATAAAAGTAAGTGTTCCTGCCATGTATGTGACAGTAACTTGGGAGTGTTAATTTGCATTTGAAAGTCTGTCAAGATGCAGATGGTGGGCTCTCCAACGAAGTGATGATCTAAAGAGTTTTCCTATTCGTGTCTAAAAATGCAATCTAGAGTATGACACATAATAACATCAACATTTTCACCGTGGAAAACTATTGAGTTTTTGAGGTTTTCATAAAGATCTTCGGATTCTTGTCTCAAACCATTAAGTATTTCTGTAGCAGGCCAATTTAAAGCCTGAATAAATGCATACACTAACAGATCTGTAGTAACCCACTTGCTGTATTGATTTACTGGTAATAATGACATTTATAACACGCCAGATTTCACAGTCCACAACTTTCATACCACTTCTAATGCATGTCACAGCGACATGATAATATAATAACCCATCATCCCTCCCCTAAATCTTTCGATTGCACACTTGCTATACCTTACTAGGGTTTATAATTAATATTCAGTCACGTTTTTGGTTGTCTGGGTGAGGCTTTCGCTGAAAAAAAACGACTCGCAGTTTGAACGTTGCACATTTAAATCTTAGTTGGAGATCATGTACACGTTACAGCCGTTTGTCAAGCCACTCTTGTATGAGGGCCTCCCCAAGTCGTGCAAGTCATGTGGGTTATTTGAGCATACTTCACCACACTGGTTAGTTGGGGTTGGTGAAGGTGGGGAGCATTTATGTGGGAGTACAGTGAGGGAATTTGATGTATTTCCCTCTATTACATACAGATCTAGGCTGCTCATTTTTTTGCAGATAATGAAGTTCATATCACTTTTTTGCAAGTCAATTGTGAATATGTAATATATGTATATTGAAATTATTTTGCACCGAACGTAGCCAACCGTGCTAATCGGAGGTGCGGGGGAAGGACAACAAACTTAACATAAAAAGCAGCTGAAAAGAAATTATATGTAGCTGATGGTCCCCACCAAAAGAATTGGAATTTGCACCACTGATTCAGAGCTGCCAACAGAGATGAGCATCATCCCTTTGGCTTATTTGAGTGGTGAGTCCCTTAGACTTGGCATTTACCAATATACACCATTCGTTGCCCTTGTGTATTAGTTGACATTGCCCCCTCTGCTGTTGTCTCTCGTACTGCTGTCACCGCGTGCTCGTCACGCAGGCTGACGCAGACGAGTTGGTGGCTCTGGCACGGGGGCGGAACGAACGCGCCACTGGCGCGGCGCGGCAAGAGCGGCTGGATGAGGCACTGGTGACCGAGCTGTCCTTCAGCGCCATGGGAGACCTGGCTCCCATCAATGCCTTTATCGGAGGCATCGCGGCCCAGGAAGTCATGAAGGTAGCTGGTTCTGTCACATCAACTGATGATCACTCACTACATTGTCTGTGATTGATAATAGGAAGCTGTGCTGGAAGAGACGACCAAATTAAACGAGCACAAGATTAGAGTGGTTGTCAAGCGTGTGACCTGTGGCTTTGTATGTAGCTTGCTGGAATAGTGTACAGCTACAGTTACCTATTGGCTTGCATGGGAACAAACAGAATCCTTGAATTTAACTATTTTGAGCGGAAAAATAATATTTTACAAATGTGTTCATGATATTTTTGCCAAGTCTGGAGGTAACAGAAACTGAATTTGCACTGCCACAATGATGAGAGTATTGAACCCTTCTCTCTGAGCATTTTTAAATGCTGACAAACAATACAATTCTGAGCGGCATTGTGCAACTTATCCTGGTTGTCTGGGTTCAGTACTAGCTTTTGTTTTGCGTTAATTGTTCCTGGTTTTTTTAGAAATTGGCTAACCCACTCCTTAAACTACTTGCCACTTTTAATTTGTATATTTGTTGCAACATCTTTTTTGTGGTGTTATCCTGCCAATCATTCTTACACATTCAAAACTATAATTATGATATAAAAATAATAATAATAGCAAATTATGTGCAAATATGATCTTTATGATAATGGAACAAATGAGACCGAACAAGACAGACAATGCAAACAACATAGACAAATAATAATTAATCATTGAATCACATTAGTTACCTGCAGGAGGTAAAGAATAACATTAATTATAAATATGAATAATTTGCAGACCAAACATTTCACGTTTCAACAAATGTTCCTAGGATGATACCCCTCGACTTGAAGCATTTTTCTTGAGCTGTGTTTTTGCTCTTTCAGGCTTGTACTGGAAAATTCACACCATTGACCCAGTGGCTGTACTTTGATGCACTGGAGTGCCTTCCAGAAGAGGGGAAGGAAACACTTCTCACCGAGGAAAGCTGCAAGCCAGTAAGTCAAAGTCTCGAGTCTTAACGTGTCTGTCTATGTACGTATGTTGGACTTCCTCTTTAAACTTCTCTCGCCAGCACTGATCGTTACCCGTAGTGCATTCTGGTTGCACTTTGGGCTCCATTACAGTGCCAGATCAAACTCGTCCTCTGAAGAAGGGCTAGGCTTATCAGTAGTCTGGCTCTTTCTAAAGTGATGAACAATGCTCTCTCTATTCTATTATTTAATTTCTTTTCTTTCTACCGAAAGAACCAAAAAGTAATGCTCTCTCTCTTCATAGTAGACATATGGTTAAGAAACGAGGGGGGAGCATTCTTGAAATGTCCACTCAGCTTAGCCAATACCACCCAAAAATGTATTGTTATTATTTTTTATATCTACGTGACTACCGAAAGACCCAAAAAATATGAGTAGTTCCACTTAGGGGAATGTCAGCGATGGTTCTCATGTAATTAAACCAGTGCCATATCACTCATTTCAATATCTCAAACGAATAGGTTCTCACTGCTCAGTGATTATAGCATAATTCTAAGTTAGAAGAATAAAAAATGAATGATAATAGTGCAATTACAAACTAACGCTTGAATTTGGAAAAAAATGAGCATCCTATTACCGGTCATAATGGGTTTTGTTGGTGTTTTTTCTCTTCATATTATGCAAAGCAAATATGTTATTGATTTTGCTGTGCGTGACCATTAGAGTAGTATATGTATGCCTATTGATTTCATTCTAATTGCACAGTGAAGCAAGCTCTATGAAACCTACCTCTTGTCCTTCTGCAGAAAGGCTCACGGTACTGATGGCCAGATTGCAGTCTTCGGAAGCGACTTCCAAAAGAAACTTTTCGCTCATAAGCTCTTCCTGGTGAGTGAAGCAGGAGCGAACACAAGCTGACTTTGCCACAATGATGACAGTATTGAACCCTTCTCTCTGAGCATTTATACATGCTGACAAACAATACAGTTCTGAGTGGCATTGTGTAACCTATCCTGGTTGTCTGTGTTAAGTACCAGCCTTAATTTTGTATAAATTGTACCTGGTTTCTAACTTAAATGAGCTAATCCACTCCTTAAGCTACCTGACGATACTTATATTTACAGCTTTCTTTAAAATCGGTTGCTTTTAGTCGGGCAATGACATGTATTTATGCTCACACTACTTATTATTATATTAGCTTTGTCCATTTGCTTTGAATACATTGCATATTATGCCATTTGTGGTTGCAGACCAGGTCAACTTTGTGATGAGCAGCTTTATTGGCTTTTCTGTTGCAAAGGGGTGATTCATAGCTTCCAGATATCAAGGAGGAAGGTTTATTCCAACTTTAACTTGAAGCTATTTTGTAGTAAGCTTGGGATGGTGCATGTTCCGAGTTGGGACGATGACCCTTGGTTGACTTTTTTTTTTCAATCTTCACGGCAGGTTGGGGCGGGTGCCATTGGTTGTGAGCTGCTTAAGAACTACGCCATGATGGGGCTCGCGTGCGGTGAAGGCGGCATGATCACGGTCACCGACATGGACACCATCGAGAAGTCAAATCTCAATCGGCAGTTTCTCTTCCGCAGCTGGGATGTACAGGTGAGCACTAAAATGCACGTGCGTCTCATTCACAACGGCCATTCGCCTCTCACGTGCCAGTAGTTTGTAAAATGTCGCTGTTTAGATTTGCATTTTTTCGAGGATTTCATTGCTTCGTTTAAGTGAATTATTCAGGCACCTCAAGGCTGGTGAAAACGGGAGATGTCAGAACTAGTAAAAAACTATTATTTTTTTAAGTTTTGAGAATCAAAAATAAATGTAATAACATTAAAAAATAAAGAGCAATGTTTTCAAATAGATATTCAATACCTGTTAGGTTTAAAGTGCAAATTTTGCCATATATCTAGCATTTACTTTGATGGAATAATCGGTTAATGTTCCACTGAAAAGTTTTTAATTATTCAGTATTTCAAACGTCTGCACTGACATAACCAAGCATTCAATGCATGCTTTAATCCTCACGTCTTTGACCGCGCCGGCACAATTACCGAAAGGCTCCATTCTATTCGCGTCGCGCATTCAACGTCAGTGGACCCGCGAACGTTGGATCGTGTCTTCTTGGTTCTTTCGGTAAAGTCACGTAGAAGGGAAGTAATAAAATAATAAAAATAAAACATAATAAAACAATTCTCAACAATTCTCGTGAGAATTGTTTTATTATGTTTTATTTTTATTATTTTATTACTTCCCTTCTACGTGACTTTACCGAAAGAACCAAGAAGATGAATCCCTGCAGTCACGAAAGCTTTAAATCGAAGTTGGATCATGTGCTGCAGAAAATGAAGTCCGAGACGGCGGCCGCGGCGGTGAAGAAGATGAACCCGGAGTTGCACATCACGGCGCACCAGAACCGCGTGGAAGCCGACACGGAGCGTGTGTACGACGACGACTTCTTTGAGGGCCTCGACTGTGTCAGCAACGCCTTGGACAACGTTGACGCACGTGAGTCGGTCGTGGGGGGGTGGCGGGGGTGGCGCACAAATGGAGGTGGCGACGCGAGTTGGTGCCGCCGTTGGCTGTTCTCTCCGGTGTGCGCGCGAGAACCCTCCGCCAATTTATGGGATACGTGTATTCAAGAAATTCGTTTATTTAAGTGTGAAGGTCACACATATGTATGTATGTTTATCTATGTTGAACTTCTTTCGCACCGTACGTAGCCAACCGTGCTCACGGGAGGTGTTGGAAGGACAACAAAATGTACATCTCATAATTATTGCTCTGAAGTAATGAGTTTAGTTGAGCTGCTTCATACAGCAGTTGTCTCCCTGCTCATATGAACTCTTGGATGGTACTTACATTTCATTGGTAAAAGTGTCCCTTCTCCATTGCAGGGGTAATGCTTTCCTTACGACAATCATTGTTGACTTCACAAAATTGTACTGATTTTTGCTGGCATTTTATTTCACGTCCAATTATGAGTCGATCATTCTAGCCACAGCGCCATCTGAAGAGATTGTGTGTTTCAGACGCGGAATGTACTCGATGGGATCATTGCAAAACAACGTTGGTTCTCATAAATTCAGACAGATGGCAGCAGTGGGTCAGTGGTTCAAAAATGGTGACTGTGAAACAAGATAAAAAAAATGTATGTGCAGCCCAATCATTAACATAAGATTTTTACAAACTGTGCTCTGCAGATTGTCTTAATGTTAAACAGACATTTGCCCAAATCTAGAAGTGTCCATCTGCTTGTCTACATTTCTAAAATTTGCAGCCAAAATTAGTCATCGTAACATGAGCAGGAGTTGTGCTGTCCTTACTACCCCTTTGTGTGCAATGCGCGGGCATTTCAGTTAGCCAATTACCTACTTAGGTGACTAAGGTGACTAAGTAGGTGCTTGGCTAACTGCATTTTCATGAGGTTTATAAAGTTCCATCTTTGTTTGCATAAAAGTCGTGCACTGATTAGCACACTGCACTTTAATTGTGGGTCGCTTTCCTAGGCCTGGCGTAAGTCAGTTCATTGAATACCTTGTGTGGTGTGCTTCCATTGGGAGGACGAAGGAAGCCGGGCGTGGTTCTGGCCATAGCAAACCTCTTTGTGTGTTGTGCTGACCTTAATTGGTGCTTTAATATACCAATTGCACCGACAATCACTTACGTTTAAAGGGTGGGGTGGATTTGCCGTTGTGCCTGCGTGCCAGGCATATACACTTATGTGTGTTTGTACGTGCGCCAGGCATGTACATGGACCGGCGGTGCGTCTACTACCGCAAGCCGCTGCTGGAGAGCGGCACGCTGGGCACCAAGGGCAACGTGCAGGTGGTGCTGCCCTTCCTCACAGAGTCGTACAGCTCGAGCCAGGACCCGCCCGAGAAGTCCATCCCAATCTGCACCCTCAAGAACTTCCCCAACGCCATCGAGCACACCCTGCAGGTGTGGGCCAGTTGCACGCAGCTACCGTTGAGAGTTCACGTAAACGGGGACACGCAGCCCGCATAGGACGAACCGCTCTTATTTTGTAGATGCTAAAATGGACTGTTTGATCTGGTCTAAAATGGGTTGGAAACTTTGTTAATGAGAAATTTTTTTAAAGTCACTTTCAGGATGGCAACCATAGTACATTTGACATGGCAGCGGCGTGTTTAATACGCAATTGTCAAGGCGGCCGATACATCGTGGGCAGCATAAGGTTGTGCAGCAAAATACATTGTTGTGTGCTGTGCTCCTGTGTCTATTCTTACCACCTACACCATCCTGCACAAATTGTGGTAGAAGTATCAGAATCTTTATTTAGACTGAAGGAATCCAGTGAGCTCTGGAAGCTCTTTTTCACAGATGTCTAGTACGATAAAATAACCCCCACGACCTGCTTGGCATGGGCAGGCCCTCATCCAGCTATGGATTGATGAACAGGGCCATACCATGTACGTGGGATATGATAGGAGGTGGTTTCAGTTATTGGATCTTGGGCGAGAAGGAAATTAGTCACTGTTTCAGAGGTGAATTGACAGTTTTCCATTTATATGAGGAAATGAAATCTGCCACTCCTGTTGATTGGTGTATTTTTGCAAAGAAGTGAATGGCACCAATTACCGATGTGTCATTGGTATAGCTTACGTGAGACCAATTTATAGCGAGTAATGTCATCCCGCTTGGTTTGATAATGTGAGTGCCACTTAATGGGAAGCCAATAGTGGTTCTCATGAAGAATGACCTCTACCATGCAATTGTGGGATTTCTGTCATTGGCTCATAGCTGCCAACAGATACAAATTATTTCCTTTTGCTTGTTTGAGCATGGAAAAAAACGTTAACATTTCACCTCATGATATGAATTCACTGTGTTAATTATCTCTTGAGTTTAAAGTGCTGGTATCTTCCCGGTAAATTCTTTGTTTGAATATGGATGCTGTAAATTGGCAACTTTGCTCCTGCTGTTTGCATCTTTAAGCATCTTATAATGCTTAAACAAGAGCTCACACGGCGGTCTGTCTTGCAGTGGGCACGTGACGAGTTTGAAGGCCTTTTCAAGCAGCCTGCAGAGAACGTCAACCAGTACCTACAGTGAGTGCTGCCGTCAATGAACGCACGGTCATTCTGAGTTCACTCAACTCAAATTTAATCTGCATCACTTCACACGGCATCTGCACCATCATAAAATGGTAGGCTTAATGCGACCACAGGCCTGCATAACATGAACATTGTGGGCCATATATTTCCCCTGGGAAGTAGGTTCGAAATCCACAGCGATGTAACATAATGTGTCCATCACTGTCGTTCAATTTTGCCAGGGACCCCAAGTTTATGGAGCGCACACTGAAGCTGCCCGGCACACAGCCGCTGGAGACGCTTGACGCCGTGCGGCGTGCCCTCGTGCACGAGCGGCCCAAGAACTGGGAGGACTGTGTGGCCTGGTCTCGCAATCACTGGCAGCACCAATATAACAATAACATCCGACAGCTGCTGCACAACTTCCCGCCCGAGCAGGTGGGTGCAGTAGCAAGCGTCGTGGGATTTGTGCGGCGACGTGGGCTGTGTTTCGTTGCGTGACGGTCAAACTGATACTTAATTCTGAGAGCTTGGATTTAGTGCAGAAGCAAATGTAATCCGGTTACTTTTTGTGCAGTCGTTGGTGATTGGGCACGAGACCACTTACTGCACTTGAAAACCTGGTTTAATTATGAGTGGCTGACTGGGTTCCAGGACGCTCCTTCCTATGACCTCTTGAACCACCCAGCCACCCACATTTGTATTTTTAATGGTGTTCGCTTTAAGCGTCTGATATTTTCCAACTCTCGTAAGCATTTAATTTTGCTCATCTGCATTCATGACTGAGCGAGTGAATAAAAAAAATCAATATTCCTTTGTTGGAGCCCAGTCAACTCCATATGACAACTGCTGTTGGATTTATTAATAGATGCACATTTTATTGAATAAGGGGAGGATGGAGGGTTGAATCAATCCCCCTCCAACACGAAGTCAAAACGTTCTGATTGTGAATAATCAACTCTGATCAAAACACTACCAGGCTGATAGATTTAGCTTTGGTGGATCAGAGCAGTAAGTCAGTACCTCTTCAATCGTAGCCACGAGCACTTTTTGACACATCCGTCTTGGCTGGATAGGATGTGTTTGTGTTGCGCTGTGTGGTGTAGGATTTTCCTCAGCTTACCAGAATGTCCGCTGAGTGGTTGTGTTCCTGTCAGAACAATGTCTGCCTGCAGCAGCAGTCCTTGTTTCCTATTGTCATCAACCATTTCCTGCCACCTGGAGGAGGGAAGCCACGTGCAACAATGCCGATTGTGCGTGCTTCTGTTTGGCATGACATCAGGCGACAGCCAGAGTTGCGGAGAAACCATCCTCCTGTTTCGGTCTTAATTTAAAAGATGTGTTGATAATTTTAATAAATGTCTCCTCACCCCACCCCACCCCCCGCCACAGCTCACAAGCTCTGGCGCTCCCTTCTGGTCTGGCCCAAAGAGGTGTCCTCACTACCTCTCTTTCGACGTCAACAACGTGAGTCGGTTGTTTTCACGTCCCCCACAGTGACGCGCAAAAGGCAAATGTGGTGTTCACTTGCATGGTCAGCGAGGTCCTTAACGGGCAGGAAGTGTCGCAAAGCGTGAAAATACGATGAGACAATGTCGAGGAATTGTAAGCTTATTCTCAAATACAATACAGAGTTGCTTTATCGATATAAGTAGTATTAATAGTGTCAGGAATATTATGCGTAATGTGCGACTCGTACCTCGAGAGGGTAAATGTAATTTAAAAGTTTCCTTTGTTGGTTCTTGCATACCTGCCCGAGCAATTACATTAATTAGCTTGCTTGTGGTTTGCAATTCGATTTAACAACATTTTTGCCTTTGCCCATATATTTTGTATTATTGGCATATCATTTCCATGAATATTAACTAATATGTCTTCACATGTTCAGTTGTATGTATTTTTTGTGAGCGTAATAATTTATTTCAAGCACTGAAACAATGCATTTATACAGAATCAGTAAACAAGTGAATCTTCGGTGTGTGGAGCTGTGTGTAAACACTATCTTTCTCTCTCTGCCGGATGGCCAGATCCTGCACATGGACTACGTGATGGCGGGGGCGAACCTGTTTGCGACGATGTACGGCATCAAGGGGTCGCGCGATCGCGCCGCCACCGCCGAAGTGCTCGCCCACGTCAAGGTGCCCGAGTACGTGCCGCGGTCCGGCATCACCATCCACGTCTCGGACCAGGAGCTGCAGAATGCGGCATCTGGCTCCATGGGTGAGGAACGACACATCTGTTATGTTCACAGATGCGTGCACACACTCATTTTTCCACAACTTTGTTATCACAGTTGCGTAGACTTTTGAGCATTATCCCCTAAAATTCATGTTGCCATTTCTGAGTGCGCTAGATTTCTTCCACGTGCAAAATTCACTGAAAAATTACAGTGGCCAAATATCCCAATGCAGCGCTCGCCTGAAAAATTATTGATTGTCTGTGAGACCTGCATGGGTGAATAAAGGGCGTTTATCTCTTTCATGTTGTTTTTCTTGGCAGACGATGACAAACTGGAAGAAGTGAAGAACACCCTCTCGTCGTTGGACACTCTCAACAACTTTAGGATGGTGCCCATCGAGTTTGAGAAGGTAAGCGCCGGAAACCGCTTCAGCTGTGCCGATCGCTAATCCGTCTCGGCAGCTGCTGTACTCGCCGTGACCCGTGCACTCCTCTTCAAAGGCAGGGCGATAATCCTCCCTGTGGGTAACATAATTCCCACGTCGCCCGCATACTTAATGGTGCACTCGCTTCACGGCAAGTGCCCGACAGACACCTGCAGTCCCTCGCTCTGCTCCGTGGCTGCGGCGTTGTAAGCGGTGCTCACTCGCAACAGCCCCTGGGAAGCCACGCCGTCGAGCCCGCTCACTACGGAGCCAAGTGTGCGCGTCGTTTCCACCCAGTCACGTGTGCGCCGGGTCATGAAAGGAGCCATTTCCTGCAAACCGGACGTGAAAGAACTTTTGTGGTGCTGTCACTTGCAAAAGTAGAGGCATTATTTTTGGGGCCGTTACATCCAACATTTCCTACCTAAATTAAAATGTTTATAATGTTTGTATGTTGGACTTCTCTCCCACTGTACATATAAGACATGGTGAGCTGGGTTTCTGCTTTTACCATGGTATTCCTTGATTTTAGTCGTTCGTCATTAAAATGGCCTCTAACTTTCCATCAGCCACACGACCCTGAGGGAGTGCGTCATTTTAGCAGCATTGCTTTAACGCCAGCAAGGCAATGGTTTGGGGAGGCTTTCACCCAGTAGCAGATAGATCATGGCTGATAATTATGGTTTTAAGTTGAGTAGTTTTGAATAATTCATGAATATAGATCGTTATATTGGTTTTGAATGATGAAACGAGTAGTTTCCGTGTTGTTGCGCTGCGTGCCCCTACTGCGCGTGCCCCTGGCTCCATTCAGCTTTTAACGTGACCTGGCGACCTTCACAGGACGACGATTCGAATTTCCACATGGACTTCATTGTCGCCGCCTCGAACCTGCGCGCAGAGAACTACGACATCACCCCTGCCGACAGGCACAAGGTACAGCTTTTGCCCCCTCTATACACTACACTTGTACTTGTTACACAGAGTACTTGTTACATACATATTTTTCACAAAGCCCTTTTATTCACATTATTCTTAATAACTATATGTCGCTTTGGTTAGAGTGCTTCACTCTAAACTTGAAGGTTGCAAGTGCAAATCTCAGGTATCAGCTCAGCCCATCATTTCCCATGGGTTACTAAAACCGTGGATAGCCAGTAGTGCGTATCTTGTGGAGAGACTGTCTGTTGGTTGCTGGCCACTTGGTAATTTGGGCTTTTAGACCTTTACTCGGCAACCAAGGTAAAAACAAAAATACCAAATACACATTTCGGCCTTTTAAAAATAATTATCCTGGCGCTTCTTAGCTCGCGCCCACGGTGGTTGACGGACGAGCCGGGCAGTTTGGTCGATCGCTGCGGTACTAACCTGGGGCTTGCGACTCTTTGCCACGCAGAGCAAACTGATCGCGGGCAAGATCATCCCGGCCATCGCCACGACCACGGCGGCCGTGGTGGGGCTCGTGTGCCTGGAGCTCTACAAGATCGTCAACGGCAACAAGAAGCTCGAGTCGTTCAAGAACGGCTTCATGAACTTGGCGCTGCCGTTCTTCGGCTTCTCCGAGCCCATCGCCGCGCCCAAGCACGTGGTGAGAGGCACCGCTTGCGCCAGCGGACACCACCGCCGGAGTTTGCGCTTTTGCATAGTTTGTACTTGTCCACAGTGACGTGTAGATTCGTTGTAAAGTACGTGGCCAATTGTGTGATAAGATTCGTAGAATCTGTGCAACACTTTTGCAGGTTGCTCAAATGCATTTTTTTCTCATGTAATGTCAAGCATACTCTTTAATATCTCGAATGTAGGTGTGTCATACTCTCAAAAATTGCGTTCAAGTAATTGCGTGCTATTTTAATCTGATTTTAATGAGCGCCTAAATGAGCAAATATTAACTCTTTGAATTTATCATGTGTGCTATTTGTAAAAAAATGGTGTGTTGGAGAGTAAACCCACAACATTTACAAATCCAAAAATGTTGTTTTGCTTTTATAACAACCTGAATATGCGTTGTTTCTATTACAAATAACAAACACGGCCTTAGAACTGAAAATGCCTAATATGATGTCATAGACAGTGGTGCTTCATAGCATGGAGAGGAGAGCAAAATATTTGAAGCTTTACAGCATGGTTACTCAATATATCATAATTTTTACCTAGTACAAATATGTTGTGAACATATTAAAGTGAAAGAAATAACATTTGAATGTAATGCGTAAGTGCAGTATGTTTGTTGAACTTTTGCACCGTACGTAGCCAACCGTACTCATCGGAGGTGCTGTGTTGGCTGGTTTTTCTAAGGCGGCAAGGTGCTGTTGTCATTTCAGTACTACGACACAGAGTGGAGCCTCTGGGACCGCTTTGAGGTGAATGCCATCCAAGAGAATGGAGAGGAGATGACGCTCAAAGAATTCACGGCCTACTTTTTGGTGCGTTCACCGACAGCGCGTGTGGAGATCCCCAACCGCATTGTGCACCCCGCGGTTTAACGCCGGCCATTCACACTTGGCCTTTAGAGAGCCGCCAGCTCCTCAACGTGAATGGGCACCTCTGTTTCGCCTGAATGTGGCAGCAGCGGCTAAAGATTTCCCTCGCTTTACGCAGGTTTTGGTTTGTGCGATTTTGTGTGTATGCAGTTGACCTATTTCTACCCCAAATTAGCTTCGTGCTGTTTTGAATTCGATCATATGCGGTTGGACGTGGGACAATATTGTGCGTCCTGTTTGTGCTACTCTCCACGCAAGTGTCTTGTGCGGTTAAAAAAAAATTCGGAATGCATTTTAACACACAAAGCAAGGGTAACCTGGGGATTGATGTTCAAGTGCTTTTACACTTATTCGTGATTTCCTGACACTTGGTATGTGAATTATGTGAGGCCACCTACACGAGGCCAAGGGGTAGCTAATTGACCAATCTGTCCTGACTTCTCCATTTTCCAATTATATCCCTGGTTTCATCCGTGTGCACGCTAGTCTCTTCCCACATACAAAACAATCTCAGAATTACAATTCTCAAGGTTCTTGAGCCTCAAAAGTAAATAACTTGCTATTGTATTATTAATATTGTCAGCCTGAGAATTATTTGAATAAGAAAAGTTTAGAAAAGGATTTGATTTAAGAAAACTGGACATTAAAATGGGGTGTAATGTTGCTAATTGTTAAGACTTTGAGATTCGTTTTTAGCTTTTGTATTGTTTGCATACGTTGGATAAAATCCTGTTGCTTCACTTCCATCTGCTTACTGGTAAAATTGCGTTTCATGCCAGTTCAGCTTAACAGGTTGCAGCTGACATGGGTGGCAAATATCTGAACTTGTCCAGGGTTGACTTAGCCTTAAACGAGTGTCTTTGGTGCCATGTGCAGGCTGAAGCACCGGTGAGACAAAGGCGGCCTGGGCATGGCAATGGCCAGACCACACCTTTGTGTGCCGTGCCAGCCTTGATAGGTGCTCACTAACTTGCACTCGCCCCGAACAAGACGTGCTGAAATGGTGTATCTTGGAGTGTTGTTTATGCACCCAGTGGCATTCTTTCCCTCCAGGAGAAGCACGAGCTGAAGATCATGATGCTGTCGCAAGGCGTCTCCATGCTCTACTCGTTCTTCATGGGCCAGGCCAAGCTCAAGGAGCGCCTCGACCAGAAGTGAGCAGAGACACTGCTTTTGTCAAGAGAGCGAAATTACGCACCGTCACGCAACGTTGCAGCCTTGTTTTTTAGTTTTCTTGTGATGCAATACAATGTGCACAAAAAGTCCCCATTGGCAGAGTAGAAATATTTATGGTCAAAGGTGGAAAAACTAAAGTGGTAGCCATTTCTTTGACTTTTAAAATTCACTTTGTGATGACCACATGAGGAAATATCATGTGAATAATATATGTTTATAGACCTTTTCAGAAAACAATCTTAAGGTTTGCAAGCCCAGGTGATTGAGTATCATAATGAAAGTATATGCTTTGGAACCCATGGTCTTATTGTCCTCTTGAGCTATCAGTCCACATTTTGAATGACGTCCCATAAAAAAACGGCTGTTGTTTGCGTCCTGTGTGCTTTTAAGTCGTGGTTGCCTCAGATGCACTTCTTAAAACAGTTGGCTGCTGTGTTACAACATAAGCCGATGTGCTACTGCCACATTATGCGTTCATTCCCAACCACTCCACATGTGCTCAGCTGTGCGTGTGTGCACGTGTTTGCCCTCAGGATGACTGAAATTGTCACCAAAGTGTCGAAGAAGAAGATAGGCAAGCATGTGAAGGCACTGGTCTTTGAGCTGTGCTGCAATGACACCAACAACGAGGACCTGGAGGTCCCTTACGTCAAGTACACATTCCGCTAAGCGGAGCGCGCTCCCAGCCTACAACCCGCCCTGCCAAGCCCCCCCCCCACCAACTTCCCTCCCCGCTCCTCCTTCACTCGCACCACACTACACCTTCACTCTCTCTCGTTAGTGTGTGGCGATAGTTAACCCCACCGCAGGACCACAAGGCACATGATAGCGCAGCAGAGATGGTTGCTTGCCTGTAGCATGTGTCTTCTGGGAAGTGTCTGGTCCAATTACAGACTTTAAAAATAAATATTTTAGGGGAATACTAAAAACAATAAAAATCAGCTAGCGATGAAATCGGGTGCACGACTCTAGCCATCCCTACTTTGCGTGCGTTCCGGTTGCACTATACACTGCTGACATTTATTGACAATGTTACCTAGAAGCGGAGGGGGGGGGAGGCAAGGTTTGAAACATGCTACGGGAGGAGAGGGCCGTGCGCGCTGCTGCTGCCGGTGTCCGTGCAACACGCCGCGCGCTCGCGCAACCCCCCTGCACTTTAGGATGCGCACTCTGCCGAGGCGCCACACAGGCTGCACGCTCCGCTGGCCGCCGGCATCACTCTGTCGTTCGCACTGCTTTAGGGAATGGTCGCTGTGGAAGGCTTTAATAATAATATTCCATCTTGAATAACCCCTGACGTTGAGCACATCGGTGCAGCAAAACATAAAAGAAAGTGTAACACTTGGATGTTATTGTTTCCTTTCTTTTCCACGCCACCCCTACCCCCTCGTCCCTCTCTCTCCACCTACTGTTTTGTTTTGTACAATCCCAACTGTTGATGTGGAATGGAATAAAGGATTTTGATCCGTGATTGTTGTTGATGTTTGGGTCACGTGTTGTTTCAAAACCTAGTGCATTCCCCTTCCACCCTGGGGCCTTCTGCAAAAGAAGCTCCACTTCTATATGCTTCTCTTGCAGGGGGCACTTGAGTGGGGAAAAAATATAGGCACTTTGCTTCATCATTACGACGAGGTGCAAAACTGATGCCTCCTACCATACGCTTGCCCAAAGGTGTATCTGCTCGTAGAAGGGCAAATTTTCTCGGTATAGATATAGTGAATGTACTATTAGGTGGTCTAACGTAGGCAAGTTTATACCAAACACATGTTTTGGAAATTGTACAAATATCACTATCGTAGTTTATTAACTAAAGCATTCCTGTGATGGTGTTTAATAGTTAATGAGCAGGTGGTGAGTTATTGCAGAAAGCTCATTGCTACGAAAATAGTTGTGTACTTTTAACTAATTACACAACCTGATGCATCTAATTGTGAGATACGTTAAAGCAGCTGATGCGTTAAACTGTTAACATTGCCAGGAGTGTATTGGACTTCGAGTGAATTCCTTAAACCTTTCCACAACTTGGCTCAGCCAGGCCTCAATCCTGTTATTTGCAGGTCGTCGTCTCGCAACTGCCAATATCACAAGTGATCGTGGATAAGAGGCATTCTCATAGATTACGTGCAAAAATTACTCTTAAATTATCTTCCAACTCTTTTGTCCATTGTGGATAAGAGCATTTGATGTACAATACATGCTTTGTGAGGTGTTGAAATGCTTTATAATTGGAGGTAAAACTGTAGTTAATGGCTAGTTTTAATTGTCCCAATAGGGATATATGCTCTATTGAACATCGTTTTAAGCCACTGCCCATTTTTATTAATAAACACTGCAGTAGTCGATGCAATTAACGACTTAAAATTGATCACCCAGCTGTACATAGTGGTGCATTTCAGGCATACAAAAATGTGCATGCCCTTTGCCTTCCCCTCGAAAGAATCGCAATTAGACGTTTACAACGTTTTTGAAGAAGTACACGATTTTAAGCCTTTCCGTGAATGTAATCTTTGCAAAACAACTGCAACAATATAAACATTTTAATACATTTTTTATTTGTAGAAAGCCGACCGCTGCCAAATGTTGCAACTTTATAAAGTACGGATCAAGAGGCAGCCACAATATTCAATCCACGCTGCCACTTTGTAAAATATGTAACCAAGGTCTCGAGTGCTCCATCTGACAAGGACGAGGCTGTGTTGCCAGTTCGTAATGTATACTCGGCACGTGGTTACGAGTTGTTTCGCGCTGCTGAGAAAGGTCCTTTGCCAACACAGCTGGTTTGAGTCGAGGGTTTAAGTGGAAGTTAAACAGGTCCTCTTTTGAAGGCACACTTTGGAGAGTTGACTCCCAGCGATTTCCTTTTTAAATTGACTTTTCTATTGGAGGGGGTTTCTGTGGTTGGAATTTCTGCGCGCTCTTCCATTAAGCAATTGTTCAAAAAGCCCTCGCGAAAACAAAGTGGCTCATTAAAGAGCGTCAGCTGTTGGGATTTCTTTTTTTAAACGGTCTCAAGTTCATATACAACACCTAAAGGTTACCCGATACATTGAAACAGGTGGCCACCACCAGGGTACCCAGTTTCCATTTTCACTACAACGCTAAAACCTTCCAGGGCACTTTCCTTTCAAATCCACTTTGACATAATTATTGAGCATATCGTATTCAATACATGCCCAGTTCAAGGGTCCAAGAGAAATAAAGCCACTGTTAATGTCTGAAAATGTACACGGGGCACAAGTTCTTCGTGATCTTTGAACACCGACCGCTCAACTGCCCCGACGCCAAACGCCTCACAATGCCTTGTGTACGCGTGCAGCCTGGCATCGTGCGTGCGAGTTGAACAGGTCGTACGGCGCCTGGCACTTTCTCGCCTCCACCTTGAGCTGTTCGGTGGGATGCTTGCGTACCGCCTGCTCGCCGTCCCTGACTTTGTACGCCTTGCTGTGGACCTTCCTGCCTGGCCTGAGGCTGGAGAGTTTCCGCTGCAGAGTCCCACCCATGCCGAAGAGCCTCTTGCAGCTCTCCAGCGGCGAGGACGCTTTCACGCCGCTGCTGCTGCTGCTGCTGGGCAGTTTCTCGGACGGTGGCTCGGCCGCCTCTATCCAGTCCGTGATGAGGTCGGCAAAGCTGTTGTCTCCCAGCACGATGGGCTGTCGCTTCCTGCCCTCTGCCGACAGCAGGCACGCCGTCCAGTCGGCGCGCCGCACGTTCGAGGGCCCGTCCTCTGCCCGGGAGGCCCAGTGGTGGCAGGTGTCGCTCTCCTCTCTTCGAAATGAATTCCTCGTGCAGCTGTTGCAGCTTGTTGAGCTGACGTGGTTTGGCGGGGTGGGGTACGTGGCCTGATGCAAGCCCCGCTTGTGTGCAGCAGCAGCGGCGGCGGCATCGGCTGCGCTGGCCGTGCCTCCGCTCTCCATGGACGTTTGGAGTTGTAGGAGCTTGAGGTCCTTCAGCGCTTGCATCATGATGTCCATTGCGTCCAGGAGTCGACAGTGAACCTGTGAGCAGTGCCCTTTCCAGACAAGCACGCACAAGCAGAGCGACAATGAATATCTCATCACTCAGGCTGCGGCATCACTGATGCGGCCAGATAGTATTTTGTTGAGAGTGGCTCCATCGCACAGTGGTAAACGCCTTACATCTGAGAACAGAGATTGGAAGGTTTGAGCAACTGCAACGGATGTTAAAAGGTGCTATGACATCACTTTCATGGTGTACTTATGTGAATCGGATTTGAACCTTTTGCGTCTTGTTTTCCCAGCTCTGCTGTATTATCTCTGTGAAAGGTAAGTTGATTGATATTTGACTTAAAACATGATTCCGTGACTTTGGTTGTGAGTGTAGGCCATTGTGATCTAGTGACAGGGCAGTATTCTTGAGAAATTGACCCACAATTATAGGCGCAAACCAGGGAGCATGTTACAATTCCCCACATTTTGTATATTACCTCCCTTTAAAATAAATCGCACAAGTATTGTTGGTGAGGTGGTTACGATATTCCAAGTCAACTTAGGAGTTGTCACATGTTTATCAATGACTGCTGTCTCAGAGAGCCTCTCCGCGCAGTGCGATTCATGGCCGCTGACCATACTTCATTATGCTGGTCAATGCATATTGATGAAGGCAGACAACATAGACATGGGAGCACAAATGTACAGGACAACAATGGATCGTGTTGTACTGCCTTGTGGGTTGTCATGAATGGTAAATTCTAGATTTGAAGCTTCGTGACTGCAATGATTCATACTCTTAGGTTTTTTCGGTAAAGTCACGTAGGTAAAAATAAAAATAAATAATATAAATTATTTTATTTCTATTATTATTTCTATTTTTTTTTACCTACGTGACTTTACCGAAAAAACCTAAGAGTATGAATGGTAAATTTAAGGTCAAAAGTCCCAAGTGTTTCTGCTTAAACGGGCATTGGAGTGGCGCACATTTTCGTTGGCAGCCCCTGAGGCAGTGGTGAAAATTCCACATTCACATGGCAGGTGCCAGTCTTTCCAAAGGACAACCACTGTTGACTTCCTACAAGGGGGCACTTATTTTTACTGAACTATAAACTCTCCAATTGTGAGTCGAGCACTCTACTTACAGTGCCACCTGGCTTAATATCAAATTTCAATTCATAAAGTAAATAAAGTATATTTTAACACGCACGTGCCAGTATATGCTGGTGGCGGAGTAGATCAAACGCGCTCTTGTCTCCGAGTTGTGGGTGTGCTTCTTTGCACGCTCATCCAAGCGTGCTAAGTGTTGCTCTGTAAGCGAGTGAGCACATTACCCACATTTTTTAAATAACATTTGGTGGGATTGTAAGGTCATTTGCTTCAGATGTGCCTGCCTTGTGACCGCCGTCACATTTGGTGGCAAACTCGATTTTACTGGACTTGTCATTCTAGCGAAGTGAACGGAGACAATGCAATCTTGTTTTAACACGCTTGTACTTTACAAACTGGTTGTGTAACATAACGTAGACACATAGGGGGCACTAAGAAGTGTACGGTTCACCCTCCCTGCAATATAACTTTAATTATATTTATCCTTTTGAAGATTAATCCATCCCATGTCATCACTTACATCTCAAATCCAAATGTATTTAATTACTTCACAATTATAAAAGTAATGCATAACTGCCCATAAATGGTTATTTTTACCAAGGGAATAATATTCAGCGTCTAAGGCTCTCACCAACTTAAGAGGCACATGTACAGTATGTTATGGCTAAATTAATGTAGTTTAGTTTTTTTACTTCAGTAAAATATATTGTGTTTGCCCGATCAACGTCTTAACAAGCAATGCCTTCAATGCAATGCCTTAATGAGTACAGTACAGTATTTGAAATGAAATATCAATGAGATGAACAGCTCTCTAAATGTAATCTATTGGCTGCTTTGAGAATCCAACAAAAAATCCACACACACACACAAAACGATAAATGTTCGGTGACCGGATCCAGGCATTATTAAATACTGCTGGTGTGGTCCCGTTTTAACGACAGCTTTGCCCGCCCAACTGGTTTGGCAGGGGGAGTTATTCTTCTTCTTCTTGATCTCTGGACTTAGGGAACAATCCCCTCCTTTCAATAGGCCGCCCGGCAGAACGACACCCAGAAGTGATCGAACACAAAAGGCGCCTTGGATTGCCACAAACCTGAACGTTGGCAAGCAACGGTCGTCGCATGCCCTTCGAGCTGCAGCAACACGACGGCACCGCTGCATATTTGCAGTGGCCTGTTGACACCTCGGCACACACAGCTCCTCTGGCCCGCATATTTTGTTTGACGAGAGAGAAGGCGCATGCATGCATGCACGTGTGTGTGAGTGAGAGAGGAGCGGTGGCGCCGTGGTTAGCGCGCTGCGCTACAAACCCGGCGAGCCAAGTTCCATTCCAGCTCAATGGCACCAACACCAGTGACGAATATCTGAGCCGATACTGGGCCTCCTCTAGACAGACTGGGCATCAAATGAGTACCTGGTGCGGTGTTTAAACGTCGCCTCCAGGGAGACAAAGGCGGCCGGGCGTGGTTCCGGCCATCCACCCTCTAATGTGCCGTGCCGCTAACAGCACTTGCCCCAAAATTGTGTTAAGGCTATACGGGGGATCTTAATCTTTGTATTTATCGCTATGTGAGTCACCAAGTGACCTGGCCTCTTCATTTGAGGCAGACCTGCGCTATGTTCACAAACAGCCCTTGTGTCACTCCACTGCTGGATGAGGGCCTCCCTATGCCGTACTTTAACGTGCAGGTTGGTAAAGATGGGCAGCATAAATATGGGAGCATAGAGGTATAGTGCAACAACGAGATGCCCTCTGCTGCCCACAGAGTACCTCAAGCTGCCCATGGACAAGCTGGCATGCCTGGTGGTTGCCCATCCAAGCTCTATCCAGGCCCAGCCCTACTTAGTTTCTGGGTCTGACGAGATCGGGCACATTCAGAGAGATTTGGCCATCAGCTCAATGTAGTATGACACTTGTACAGAATAACAACAATATTTTCTATGTAGTTTTTTGGCAAATATAGCACGCAATAAAAAATATAATATCCACATTATTTGCCAATTTTTTTTTATCAGGTTTCATATTTCTGAGCTAAAACCTCAAGGTCAACCACCTGCTTTCACAGTGGAGTCTGTTTAACATCTGTGATGAAAAATGTGGATCTTATTCCTCAAAATCAGACAGCATATACCTAATTTTGTGTTCTCGTAGATATGCACAGTATATAGTGTACACAACTGCATCACTAACCGTCACGTGTCCACCCTCACCAACTAACTGCTGTCTGTCACCTGTGCATGGTGGAACTATATTTGTCTCAGGATATTGACAACATCCGACCGTTACGTAAAGTCCACCGGTGCCTTCGTTGAATACGTAGTAGAGGCTTTCGTGACCAATATTATCCACAAAAGTTTTTTGGGGTGAGATCGCGTAAATATAAAAGCGTCGTTAAACCCGCCACCACCCGACACAGCCACTCGGTAAGTGTCTCACGTAAACAGAACGTGCTAATTAGTTGCAAGTTCAGCACACCGCTTGTGTGTTGTAGAGTAAACCTTTATGCACCAGTGAGTTGGATATGCGACGTACTGTAGATGTTAATATTATTGTACACTATTTCACAGATATCGCCCTGTAAAGTCCTCAATGTGGTTTACACAGCAGCAATCGACGCTCTCCCGACTGGCAGATTAATGCCACAGGTCACTCTTGAAAATGAAACTTTCCTCGTCGCTTTGAGTTCTTACCTGGTTCAAAAACAAAAAAGTACCAAAGTAACTTCACAATCAAACACAAATAAATAAATGAACTTACAACATTTGCCGCGTCAATGCTGAACGTGGCGAGTTGCTTTTTTGCTTCATCCATTTAAAATGTCCTTCAATCGCTGTACTGGTTTGAAAAAGGTTTTGATGCCTGATTCTTTGGAATGCAATTTTTTTCTTCCTAATGCACATTAGGTACAGCTATGCCGCATTAAAATGCGCCGCAATCTTGTGCGCATTCCTTTCAATTACACACGCGCGCTCTCAGGCCTTGCGGGATCCCTCGCTTATAGGGCCTCGTTTCTCTCCTCCAGACTCATTCTCAACGCGGTGCCGGAGAAAAAGCCACCCATCGTCTGGAGCCTTCATCACATCCTGCCCAATTAAAAACAAAAATAAAGGCATCTCTGTTGCGTGCGCGTGACCTGCGCGTGTTGCACGCGCACAGTGCTGGGTTTGTCGACGTGAATGGCACGGTGAAAATTGGCCTCGCAGGAGTCACTGTGGGAACTTGTGGCCAGAATATGAGCAACATCAATGACGGAATTCAGCATCGAATGGTGAAACTCGAGTGTGGTGAAGGTGGAGCAACTACACCAGGGGGCCCATGGGTCGGAGCGGATGCGAAGAGGGGAGGAAATTGGACAGGGGGCCCCATTTTACTCTTTGCATGAGGGCCCATGCCAGCCACACTACACCACAGGTCTCAATGCACAATCTCCACATTGCCTTTGTTGATAGGGATTTTTTGTCATTCTATGATTCGACATTTAAACATTAATTTGAACATTTTCAAATATTAACCAAAATATATAAAATATTGAAAAGGTGCTCAATTCTGCAGTATCGTGAACATATTCTTGCTTCCTTCCCTTCTACGTGACTTTACCGAAAGAACCAAGAATATGAATCCCTGCAGTCACGAAAGCTTTAAATTGTAATGTTATCGTGAACACGTCTGCTAATGCTGAAACAAATTGAGATACTTGTGGCATACCGTGCCTACCAACAATCTTCAGGAATAAATATGCTTAAAGTGTTGTTTTAAAGCTGGGTAAAGAATTCCGTCATCTCAATTCCAAGGGGACTGGATTCCACAGATGTGGCCCTACAATTCAAAGGCACTCGAGGCACAACGCAAGCCCTTGGGACACTGTGTGAGCTTTGCCAGTTCCAAAAACAGTGCCTCGGTGAACAACTTAGTCCAAGTTATGGAAGCCAGATATTCTAGAACTGTGTGGAGAGCTCAGAAGTTGCTGTTGGGTCTTAAACTGGCCACGACTGGTGGTCAATCCTGAAAAGCCACAGTCATATCGCTCTCATCATCATCAACCAATAATTTAAAACATTACATCCTTTTTTACTCCACTGCTGGATTAAGTGTGCAGAGCATGGCTTGACGACGACATAAGAGATCGGTATAAAAAGTTTAGCACTACTTGAGCATATTGGCACAAGACAGAGGAAAGTGGAATCAAATGACGAAATGTGTAGTGGACATCTGCGGGCTATCTGCCCATGGATCGTGATGATGATGATGCCAGATGAATGCCTCCAAAAGCTGTGGCAAACAAGTGCCAAAATAACCGACCATACTTCACCAAATTGTTCAGTCCAGGTTGAGGGAACCCAGGACCAGTTCAGATGTCACTCACCACTGATGTTAGCCACGGCAGGAAATCGAACTCAGGTCACCGTGGTGTTTGTGTATTGCATTAACCACTGTGCCACTTCTGCCATATATGATAACAAAGCGTGTCTATGTGTAAGCTCGACTCCAATCGAGAGGACAGAAAATTGAGAATGTGCTCTTGTGAAGCAAAACAGAATGCCTGCTGAGAGGTTATCAGACAAAGATTACATGAAAGCCATGAAGTATGCTCATACAAGGGTCATGATGTTATGTCAATCCATGGATTGGAATTCCTTCTTCATTAACCACATGATTTCCCTCATAGCTAAAGTTGCCATGCTCAGACGGGGGTCTTACTCTATTCTGTGCTGTATATAGAGCAGCACACATTGATTATTATTTTAAATGTTGCGTCACGCGCTCGAGAAGACAATGATATGTGGCCAGTGGGTGCGTGATTTGCAATTAAGTGAGGTTGAATGGCACCTTTTTAATTAGACTCTCGGCTAATTAAAACCAGAAACCACACTTTTCCTGAGCACAAAAGGGCATATTGAGACCTCGCTGCTACCCACCCGAGCAGACTGCTCGTATGGCGAGTTGCCAGACCGGCAGGGCTGTCGCCACTGCTACGACTATCAACCTGGGATCGGGTGTTTTGGCACTTGCCTTGCCAAATGAACCAGCCCGTTTGTGAAGTACACACACACACACATTCCATAGTCTCCGTTGAGACTGTAGCCTAGAACCAGGGAATGGCAACTCCGGGATTCTGGGGTCGAGTAGAGCCCATCTTCCCATGTCTCCCGATCGACATGCATTAGTAATGTTCGATGCTTTGTGTTTGCAAGTGAATGGAGAAGACTGAGTGACATGGGAAATATGAACTGTGGTCCTCACTGCCTGGAATGGTCCTCTAGGCCTTTTCTGTATTAATACTTTATGAATGTATATATGTAGAGTACACTCTTTACTCAACCATTTGACGACCCATTGAGATCCATTCCCAATTCATAAAGGGGAGTTTATGGTTACATAAGTTTAGCAACGTTTGCGAGAAGTTTTTGACTATGGGCACTACCACGACTCACGGAAACTTCATCGAATAAATGATGAAGGTAAAGTCTCTATCACCAATTTTATATTTCACGTTTTGTTTTAGATTACAATGCTCCCATGCTGTATTTTATTTAATTCCAGGTCTGCCTTTAAAAAAATAGAGACACAGAGGCAACAGTTTTAGTCTCAACAGACTCTTACTCTCTCGTAAATGAAGGGCCTAAAATACCAAGCAACTAGCAAACGACCAGCACCATTGAAGGTGCAAGAGGTAACACGAAACACAATTCCTGAATTGAGCAAGGTTGTAAGAACTTGGGGAAAGCGACGATGGGAAGGAATTCCAAAGTGGAGGGGTGAGAGGAAAGAGGCAAGACACGCACGAGTGGAGGAGACCTGGCAGACAAAGTCCTCAACTAAAGTGGAGAAATCACCAAGTGAAGTTGTTGCGAACAGCAACCCTCTTAGTCGTGATAAGAAGTGGGAAAGGGAGGCAACTCATTTCTTGACAAGTTGCCATGCAGCTGTAGTGGTAATCGAACCACTGACTCTGCTAAAAATGGTTTTAGTGGCAGGTGAGCTCACCACATGCATTCCCAGAATATACATCATCATCACCCATGGTCAATCCACTGCCCAGAATATAAAAAAACTATATATACCCCATAGTTGTGTGTATATATACACGCATACAATTGACGTGTACATATATATGAATTGAAGACTGGCTTGTTGTATGCCAGCCGGTTTTGCGGACGCAGCAATCACATTCCATTTATATAAAGAAAAAAACCAGATTCTTTGAACGTTCGTCTTAGCTTTACAATGTAGTGGAATGCACATGAAAGTAATGAAAACTACATTATACACATACATAAAGCAGTAGATAGATCATGTCTGGTGATTCTTTGAGCACAATATGTACATTAGATATATGCCTCTGCAATAGCGGCATGCATATGCAGTGTATATGTGTATGACAGTCTTGTAATAAAACACGTGCTTTAAGTTTTATCTACAGCAATTATACAACACACTACGGTACTTTACACAGTATGTATAGTAGGTATTCCTCTACGATATACATATACTGTCTGTCGATTATGGCATGTTTTAATATATATGTGATTGTTGCAATAAATTCATCGACATACATGATCTCACACGTCTGCTATTCATATGTGCGTGCCTTTTGAGGTTCACATAAGTCTTAACCATACCATGCAGCATAATAACTACAGGGCTACAAACAACATCTCATCACTGTGAGCGTTATCCACGCTGAGATTGCCACCGTCTGAAACGTGCGTGGCAAGATTTGTTTGTAGGCGTTCTGTAATAAGGAATCCCACTCACCGATTATTGCCGAGCTGACGTGCGCGCGTCCGCGTTCTCTGCCTTGGCGTCCAGTTCTGTTGAGAGAGGAGAGGCTGGGGTGTTGTAGAGGCGAGAGGCTGGGGGGTGGTGGTGGTGGGTGGCAATGCGGGGAGGAGACACGGGGGGAGGTGTGTGGGAGGAAGTGGGCGAGTTTGTAGCCTTGAGCGTATAGTCTGGGAGTTTGTGGACCCTAAGATCCCAACACAGATACGACTCCCATCATCAGCAGCAGCAGGCTTCCCTCAATGGTAGGTCACTCCTTCCTGGCTGCTCCCATTGTCCATCGATCTCGAGCTGTCCATACCAATGGCTGTATCTATGTATGCCCAAACTAAATGTATGTTTTTGCTGTCACCCATGACTATGCATTTGTTATTGAGTAATGTCCTCCAACAACCTTGATTTTAATCTTTGTGAACTCATTACACATTTCAAAACCCATGCTACCTTCCAAAATAGATTTGCTCTTAGTAATTCAGCTGCTATTACAATCATGGCAAACCCTTTCAATTCTATATACAGTATATAGAATGTAATGTTTTTTATTATTACATTTACAGAATTGTGTGTTTATGCGCACTAGTTTGTTTATTTATTCTTTAATATACTTTATTACTGGCTAAATATTTAATTTACGATATGTCATAGAGTATTAAACCTGTAAACGATATCGTTTACGTGACTTCAATTATTAATCTAAACGTGAGTAAGTCTTACAATATATACAGTACCATTGTTTTACATACGGTACTGTAGTAGATGTACCAAATTATTTAGATTAAAAAACGTTTCAGAAAATAAAACACACCCCAGGCTTGTGCCCAGTGTCAATAAAGCTATCCACAAGTTGTCAAACACACACACACCTCGCAGACTATAGACGCACCCACAACTTCTGCTTAACATATCGGAGGAAATGTATCTTAGAATCCGGAGGCTATCGTGCAGTACTTTATCCGTGTCGAGTATTTTGTTCAGGTATTCTTTAGAACATGTTTTGTTCACTCAGCGGGCTGTCATCAAATTTAAATACGTAAAATGAACGTTTTCACCGACCTCACCCCTTTGTCTGTCCACGTAAATGCCTCCTGCTGAAGAGGGAATCCAGTGGCTGGGTCTCTCCAGGGGTCACTGCACTCCCCACTTACAACCACTTTCCACAGAGTTGCGAGTTAGATTCCCATCACTGGCCCCTATTCATTGCCGATGGAAATGACAAACATTTATCATTGCGTAAAATAAAGAAAAAACGGTACTGTACATATATTGCGAATGTCTGTCATTCCTCCCTACGCCATGACCATACTTCACCACGCTGGTCAGTACATGTCAGGAAAAGTTGTTGGAGGTAAGGACTGGCGCTGAAATCACTCACCACTGATGTTAGCCGTGGCCGGGAATCAACCTCGGATTGCCGGGTTCATAGCGGCAGCACGCTCACCGCTCCACCATAGAATAAACTCGACACCGCTGGACATTAATTACAGATGCCGTGGCATTCTTTTCGTGACATTATTTACAAAAGCAAAGTATGTTGTGCCAGTGACATATCCCCCCCCCCCGTCGCAAATTTTACAATTACTGGCTAGCAACACATACAATAAAAATTAGCAATCAAATGCCTTACTTAACTACAACCATTCATGACTGTGTCTGAAGAAAGAGATTACAGATTCTGTTACATCAGCATTAGATATACGATAATTTATTTATATACATCCCAAAGAGGACCTCCTATCTGCTTAAATAAAGGGCAACATCACGTCACATTTATTTTACATTAGTCTGCTCTTATCAATTATAATCACCGTGCTCTCAAACGGTAAAAAATTAACCCGTAAAAACAAAGTTTTTCACTATAAATCCTTTATATGCGTGGCGGCTATAGTCCTCTCGTCCTCTGGCTTGAGATGGCTGCCACCTATGGGTCAGATGATTGCTTGCCACCATTAAGCAATTGGTAATTACATATAAAAAAAAATCCTAAAAAGTGTAAAATTTTGGAAAAAAAATTTCACAAAAATGTATTGTCACGCACAACGAGTCTGTGTGCAAAATGTAAGCTCGATTGGATCACGGGAAGTGGGTTAAAAAACGACCGAAAGATTTGCACGGCCGTAAGCGCGCAAGCAAGCAAGCAAGTGAACTTAATATAAAGGATTTAAAAATGGAATGTCGGAAGACATCCGTCGCAATGGAATCTCACCTGCTTAAATGAAAGGTGTCACATCAAGTTAGGCGCAAGGCATTTGTAGTTTTAATACCGGTGCCAAAGCTCAGCTCTTGACAACTTTGAGAAAGTACAATGTTTACTCCATGTCTGTGCAGACGCTATATGTACCTTACATTGTTGCGCAAGATCACGTGGGTGGAAACGGGACCGTAAAAATGATTTATATGTGCTTAAATAAAACAAGGCAGCCACATTGCACACAGATTAAAGCCATGAAGGACATTTACGACTGGCACCTGCATGGGGCGTGGTTCTGTGTTTCTAAAGGTAAATTATTAATACAACTTAGATGACAATCCTAGAGATAAATAATACCATTCATGTATATTTTATTTTACGTTAAACACTGAGAATCCTTTATTTAGGTAAATAAGGATGTATTTGTTGATATATTACTGCACTTATTAATCGGTGTCACAATTAAAAATGATCTTCGCGTGTTGAAATGAGCAGTGGGGGCAGTGATCTTTTCTATTGGTGGTCCGTGCCCACTGGATTCAAATTTCACTTTCCCATGGTGGATGTCTGTCCCTTCATGACGACTGTTGATATCTACACACTGTTATTTGTGTTATCAAGCCTGTGGGCGGTGGGGATGGGGGTGGCCTTAGATGACCGTGAAATGTATTTGATTTCACAGCCTAGAGATGGTGTGATTCTTAACTTACTCTGGAAATCCTCACCGAATCCCATTGCTATATTTTTCTAGGCGGGAAGTTTGGCCATTTTCCAATTGAGTATTTTTTTTTCACGTGCAGAGCAAACTTAAGTGCCGTTTAAAATATCCCCGTAAAACAAGGTTGCATCCCGCATTGTCCTGAATACTGTGCACAAGCCTGTTCCCAAGACAACATGCGATGATTTAACACAACTTGTGACGCCCATCTCTTACCCACCTGGCACTCACTCACTCTCTCCCTCTCTATCTGCGCACCTGCATCGGTGAAAATGCCTCCGTGTAGAGACACGGAGCTGACAGCCCTCGGGGGGAGGGGGGAGGGGGGCTCTCGTGTGGGATTACGTACTCCCGACTGAACTCTCCCACATCCAAGCGGCGGCGATTTCAATCATCCGTGCCCTCTATTTACAATCTCGTTCCACCCTAGCACACAAACGTCGCGGTTGAAAAGATCGCAGTGCACTCGCATCGCGTCGCGTGTGGCAGGTGCCTCGTTATTTACCGCTGCTGCATTCTCTGCTCCCAGCCTTGTGGTCAAGACGTCTGAAAAACGTGGAATGTGTCCCGTCCAGGTGTTCAACTCGGCCACGGTCTCACTCTCTCTCTCGGGCTTTATGGAAGGGTGTCGCTTTAACGGGCAGGTGAGAAAGGAAGAGTTTTCGTATCCAAAAAAATATTTTACTGTTCATCTCCATTTTGTGTATATTACTTAAGATGCAGAGGTTCAATTAGATATCCCAGCAGTATGCAACAGTGGTGCAAGTTTTATAAATACCACCCACCTCCCCGACCTCTGTATGGATACACCACAACCAATTGGCAGGCCGCGTGAGGTGGGGCAAAGTGTGGGTTCACCGACCTCGTCCAAGACATCTGGCCAGTGTGGAAGAGTAGGCCAAATACTCCCAAGAGGGACTCTCTAGAGCTCCCTCGAGTGGAAGCCCTTCTCCAAGCAGTGTCGTGACCAAGGAATTGCAGGGCTGCACCTGTACCTATTTTTTGCTTGTTCAGCATAACACAGTGCTACCGTGGTGGCGGTGTGGAGGAGGGTGCTTCACACATGCTGGGTGACTGCTCTGTACGTACCGGACTCCCCGGCGTTCTTCTCAAGCTGAGCACTGCTGTATCCACTGCTGGATGAGTTCTTCTTAAGCCGATCACAAGTTGGCTCCGAGGCCGCTCAATGGCTCGAGACGATGTGTCCCTATTTTGGTTTTCCTGAGCCTCATTTTGTTTGTCTTGTCCACGTGCAATCGCTCTTCATAATGTGTTTGCATGACGCCCGGTGGGGCAGTGGTGCAGTGGTTAGCATGATGCGCGATGAACCCACCCCTCCAAACCACGACGCCTGAACCAACCCGCATTGCCTTGCGTGGTGAAGTGTGGTCAGACAGCCACATTCACTCACGTGGCGTGGCTCAGCCTTCGTCCAGCAGTGTATTGACCAAGGACTCGAACAATGCACGACACGGAGAGGAAATGTGACAAATTGCTCTCGTATCCAGGATGGAATAGGCTTTTGGGAATGGTGTGGCGTGGTCAGGACAGTACGAACCTGGCTCATGTTCATAACCGCACTGCACAAGACCTCATTTTAGGCTGAATATATCTAGGGGAGGGCCAAGCCAGGTTCAGATAACGAATGCCACTCGTGATGTAAGTCATGAACTGGACTCCAGTCTGGGTTGGGGAGACTGTAGCACAGTGTGTGACACCACAATCCCACCACTGCTCATAGACCAGACAACATGTACAGCCCGCTCATCGCTCCACTGCTGGATGAGGACCTCCCCACGCCATGCGGGTCGGGGGGATTATTTGACCATACTTCACCACACTGGCCAGTGTGGGTTAATAAAGGTGGGGAGTAGAGGCATAGGAATATAGAAGTACAGTACAGCAGTGGATTTTACTGAACTGCCCACAAAGTAGCCCAGCAGCAGCCTATAGCCTGGTAGCGGTGGTGGTGGTAGCGGTGGTGGTGGTAGCGGTGGTGGTAGCGGTGGTGGTGGTGGCGGTGGTGGCGGTGGTGGTGGTAGTGGTAGTGGTGGTGGTGGTAGTGGTGGTAGTGGTAGTGGTGGTAGTGGTAGTGGTGGTAGCGGTGGTGGTGGTGGCTATGCACGTGGCTGCCTGTAATCCAGCACTATGGAAGCAGCAGCGGGGGTTGGT